CAATAATGGAAAAGAGAGGTAATAAAATGTAAATGAAATAGCTCCAGTTTGTTCAACTTAGGAAACTTAGCATTGCCGCCAAAGTATTCTAAAATGCTGCCAATAACCAAAGAGAAAAGGAAAAATATCAAACAACAAATTGAATATAGCATCAAAATTCATATTATTTTTATTTATTTGTTATGTAACTAAATACATAATTGTCTATAATGTTTCCATAAAACTTGATATTTCCTGTAATAAATTCTTAATAAATATTATTATTTATTATTTTGCTTAAATGTAAGTTAGTCCTACATTTACAATTCCTTACGGCTAACCATGAAAAGAAATGTTAATCAAAACTGCCAAAAACCTTTAAACACTTATTGCTGCAAAATTATCAAAATTATTACCCTCCCCCACTGAACACATCATATATATAAATATATATTACATTAATTATATATTACCACCATTTTATATGTACCAGTTTTATTAATCATTTCCAATGAATATTTTGAAATAATCACTGTGCTGTTAATCTCTGAAGTCTGCAGATGATCTGATCAGTCAAAAAGAATCATTTCCTATTTATCCAAAGATTTTATGAGGATCCAGAAATATGAAATGCAATGTTTTTTGTTTTTTTTTACTGTTTGCTTTGTTTGTTTTTTTGGCTTATTGGTTTTTGGACAATTTATAATAAATAATAAACAATAAAGTGTAAAAGAAGAAAAAGAAGTTGGCTACATGCCACCCACCCTGAAAAAGGCACTATTTTTATGAGCCAAACATTTTAACCAAAGTGAATTGAGAAAGTATTTTTTGTTTTTGATTTTTTTAAATAATAAACAGTTTTTTTTTTCCTTAAAAAATAAAGAAGAAATGTGGGATTAAGAAAAGAAAATGTGAATAAAGATATTTGGCCAAATGATTTCCAAGAATTAAAAACACATGAAATAGGATTTTCATATTTCAATAACATTTAATGAAAAAAAAAAAAAAAAAAACACACACATTATAATTAAAAAGATTTTAAAATTATGATTTTTATTTCAGTTTTCTATTTTTTTAAGGCACATATTGAAAAACTACATTTTTCTCCCAACACAAAAAGAAAAAAAAACCTGGTTTACAAAGATTCAATCAATTACAAAATAATTTTATTCAGTAATTAATTTTTATGACAAGTTTCTGTCTATAGGATTGCAAACATTGTGAGGAAAGGGGATAAACAATTGGAAATGGAGTGATTCATTTGTGTCTAGATAAATTTATTAAAATAAAAAATTTTTTAAAAATCATCCACCGTTATCTTAAACTCACATTTCACAAAATCCTAAAAAAAAAAAAAAATAAAAAAAAAAATAAAATCAAACATTGAAAATAAAAATAATACTGAAAAGAGAAGAGAAAAAAAAGAAAAAGTAAAGAAATAATAAAGGTAAAAAATACAAATTAAAAATAATAAAAAGTAAAAAAAAAATAAATAAATAAAATAATTAAAATTAGTCCAGGAAATGAGGAAAAATAAATTTTATAAATCAACTACTTTTTAAATTTTTTTTTAAAACACCCCAAAACATTTTGTGGACATAATAATCAGTGCATAAATTTAATATTATTTAAAAATCTGAATACATGATATAAAATGTCACAAAATAAAGAATATCATTAATTTATGAATTAAAGAAGTATCAACATCTTTGTTATTTTGCCTCTTACATCATTAACAATGTATTTGCTAGCTTTTCCTTTGGTGCATGTTACAGCAAAATGGCTTACTTCAAACCAGATTCAACATAAACTAGAAGGCTAGAGAAGACATCAGACAAAACTCAGTGATCAAAACAAAAAGGATAAGGATGCTCGTCTAATTCAGAGAACAACAAGGATTCTTCATCTCCAAACACCAAACAAAAATAAGCATATCCCATGATTTAGTGTTAATTTCAGGCTGCATTGAATGATGACCAAAAGAAGTCAAGTTTTGCTCAAAGAACAAAAAACAGAAATTACTCACTCACAACCCAGCTAGATCAAGGCTCCATTTTTATGAGCCTATCATTTTAACTAATGTGAGTTGAGAAAGTAATTATTTTTCTTTTAAAAATAATAAATAGCTTCATTTTTTCCTTTAAAAAAACAAAACAAAAAAAAAACAAAACGGTGGGGTGGGATAAAGGAAAAAATGTGGGTAAAGTCATGAAAGCTTAAGACACATTTTTAGTTGGATCAGAATGTAATATCTGTGTGTATGTATCTTATGTGAATAAAAAACCTGTTTATCAGTGCCTTTCCTTGAAATTGAACTCATTATTTTACTTTTTAAAATAAGTGAGTTTGTTCTCTTGATGCATTCATGCGATATGGTGTAAAAGTGAAGTGCCCAACCAAAAGATTCCACAGACCAAATAGAAGCAACAATAAAAACCAAAGCTTGAAAATATACTGAACATCTAGAACATTCATTTATCTGATGACGGCTGGAGAGCAGACCAGTTAAAATATATTAACAGAAACAAAGATGAGGATATTAATCTGAATATGTTATTTAGTCAATTTTCCTTCTTTTTTTTTTTTTTTTTTTTTTTGCTTTTTGTGTGCTATCAAATAACACCCAAATGATTATGTCTTGTTAAGTAAGTCTATCAGGTCATGCAATAGGCAATGTCCAAAATCGACAATACAGGATCTTTTTACAAGCAGCTATATTCAAATTTGACTAAATCTTAAGTAACCTCAACAGTGACATTAATGTGGCTTAAGCAACTTTTAAAAAAAAAAAAAAAAAAAAAAAAAAAAAAAAAAAAAAAAAAAAAGGAAAATTTAAAATTAAACAAGAGTTATTAAATATGTTGTTTATATTTCATTCAGAAATTCTACCAATTCTACTATATTAGTTTACAATGAAATGTTTTTCTTTTCTATTGATTAAACCAAAGCATAAAAAATTTACGAAACTTGTGTACTAATTCTCACACAAAATTCAAGTACCCCTAGTAATGGTCAAAATGCTAAGTTGTTTATTTTTTAAATTATTTAATACAGATTTTATCAGGTCATACCAGAAATAATCTCCAAAATTTACAATAATGCAAAAAGGTTCATGGTGTTTATGGGATAGATTCTTTAAACAAAATAAATTGCTGAAGATGGTTAAAAAAAAAATCAGAAAAACTGACTTCAGTGTAAGAGTCAATAGAAATGGCAATGTTACCATTGAAGAATTTGCTCAAAAACTGAATGATTCACCATTATATTGTCACAAAGGAAACATTTGAATTTAGAAAATGGATTCCTCATGATTTGACAAAAACCCACTGTAAAGAAAGAGCCGACATCTGCATTTCTCTGCACCCTTGTGACTGCATCTTACTATTTTTATACAGTTTAATGACTGGTGATTAAAAAAAACAAAAAAAAAGATATTTTTACAAGAATATAAAGCAATGTAAACTTAGTGTAGACAAATGAGCTTAAGTACAACCAAAAATTAGACCTCCATCTTGGGAAGGTTTTAGTGGGATTGCATTGGTGTGATCATCTCATAAGAGCATTTAACAACTACATTGAAAGAAAATAGGTCCAGTTTGATTAATTATAAATGTATTTTGTTCTATCAGGATAATGCATGACACTTTACAATAAAGATCAAAGGCTGTAAAGATTACGGCTAAAATAAAAATCCCTAATCTCCTTAATCACCATCTGATTATTTTTTTATCATTTCCTCTGAGTTCCTAAGTTTATATGAGTGATTGATTTATTTAATGGCATATCAGCATCTTATGAGTTATTTAATGCCAAAATTTAATTTTCTTGGGAGTTTTAAAGTAATAAAAATATTATAAATGTTATTCTGCCTTCACAATTGAATACATGGTAGATGATACTTAGATTTTGTGCATATACATGTTTGTGTGGACTAACTTACTAGAGGCAGTGATATGTGTGTTTTATGTTGAAGTTATATTTTGAAATACAGTTTGATTTCTTTAAGAAATTGTAGGATATTATATGGATTATATGGATTAATATCATGGAAGATTTCTTTCATGTTGTTTGTTTTCTTAATTTTGTTTAGCCATATATCAATCTCTAATGCCAAAATCTAAATATTTTGTACACAATTGTATGCTTTCAACTACAATAATGTATTGTTGGTCATTTTGCTATAAAATGTATTGTTGCTTTTTTTTATATATATAAAAATGTGTTGCTGGTATTTATAATATAAAACTGTATTTTTATACTTTCATATAATTCCCATGTTCTCAAGAGCAAAATTCACCTTACAATAACTGAAAAGAAAATCAGCTAAAATACTGTGTAAAAACTATCAAAGATGAGAATTCTAAAGAAATTGTTCCCTATCTGGAACACTCAACATGAAATCAGTTGAGGAACTTTTAAAAATTTCAAGTACATTTGCTACTGTTTGAAATATCACTTATTAACATCCATACATGTAAAAGTGGATCATACAAAAATATACATTCTGTAATATCATGTCAGCTCCTATTATGGGGATTTTTACAAAGTATATTCTTTCTACACTGTATACAACCAATGGCTGGCAATTGCTAAGGGCGAGTTGTTTTCATGCCTTTTTATCAGGAAAATAGTACCAATGCTCAAATTAGAACTTATATCTGTTGGCTTCATTAATAAAGTCTTTACAAAATGCATCAATTTTATAACAGCAAGATTTAATACAATCATCCAATAATAGAAATTCCAGGAGCCATTTTAGCCTAGGCAGTATTGAGTAACCTTGCTAATAAGTATAATAACACTAAACCAAAGAATGAAATATGCTATGTATGTATGTGTAGGAGATAAAAATCGAGTGATAAAAAGGGAACATTTTTTTAAGGTTATGTGAAGATACTCCTAAGTGGAGAAATACAAATATTTTTTTTTTTGAAAGTAAGAAAGATTTTTTTTAAAATTCCGAATTAAAATATCAAATCAAATTAAAAACAATTTTTATGTCCAAATGTCTTCTAAATAACGTTTCTCTATCTTCATTTCCATTAGTAATTTTCGAGCAGCTTCTTCATTCAATTCTGTAAGGAAAAAAAAAAAAAAGATTTTTTTCAAAAAGGCAGATAAAATGGATGAAATTAAAAGAAAGGAAGAATCCAAAAAGGAATTGAGAATAAAATGGAAAAATGGAAAAATAAAAAATAAAATGGGAAAAAAAGAAGAAAATGGATTAAATTAGTAGATAATTTTTAGATTTGTCAACAATCCTTTTTTAATAAACATTGACCAAAAAATAAACTAATATCTTCTATGTGCCTCATTTCTTCAAGATATAGGCAATCATGGCACTCCACAACTTCTTATCTTGTGCGGCTCTTAGCAACTATTCACCTTGCCCCCAGTTCCACCATTCACTCACTCACGCTCATCAGGTAAGTGGTTCACTGCCTTCCCCTATCTCTCTTGCCCTTGATATGCCCCGTAAGCAGTGCCAGGTTTACATATATACTGCAGCTCAGGAGCCCCAAGACTAAGAGCCCCCAAGCATCCTCTAGTCACGATATAAGAACATTTATTTATTTTCAAATTTAATGGGGCTCCTTTGAGATCACTTGAAACAATTTAGAGTATTTTGGTTACTTCTAGTTGGAGTGGATCTTTTAAATTTAAAAGACCCTTCATACAGACTCTTCATTCTAGATACAGTTTCTGTCAGATGTAAAGTTCGGATAAAAAAATATCATGAAGTTGCTAATGAAATAAATGGGACGAGTGCGAAAATCAATTAAAAATTTTAGTTGAAGTGTTTCATGTTTTATACCAAAAAAGCATCAACTAAAAAAATTTTTTTTTTTTTATAGACATGGAGGACATATGTAATGAAGAGGCCTCCAAATTCTATTAGCCCAAGAGATTCTTAACGCCTAAACCTGGCCCTGCTAATTTTACCAAGCCCTTTTTCCTCATTATGTGTCCAAGGACTTTCAGCTGTCTTTTTCTGATTCCGGGTAGAAGTATACTTTCTGTTGCCATTTTCTTTTAAGACTTCCTTAGACATGCCACATGGAACTAGAACATTCTACCCCAGTGAGTGAAATAAAGGATTCAGTTCGACATTCCAACCACCTGGATAAGGATGGAGCGTACAACAGCTGAAACATTGTGATAAATATGGCGACAAAGATGAGGACAAGAGTCCGAATAATGTAAATAGTGTACATAATACCTCATCTCAGAAATATAGACAGATAAGACTTCCTTGTTGCTTTCTTGCTCCATCCATGGAATTTTCAGTATCCTTCTGTAGAATCACATTTCTGTTGCCTCTAGTTTTTACCTCATCTGTTGGGGAGATTGTCCAACATTCACTGCCATATCAGAGGATGGAGATCATTATAGCATTCCAGCACACTTTTCTTTTTTCCTAACAAACTTTTTCCATTTCGCAGCATCTTGCTTAACTTTTAGAATGCTTCTTTTACTAATCAAATGCATGATCAGATCTCTGTGCCACATTTTTCTATCCTCTGTTAAAACATTCCACAGATACTTGAACTTCTGAACCTGCTTGATGCTTATATCTCCAATTTGTAACTTTATCTCATGCTGATGACTATACTTTCTGTCTTCTTGCAGGTGATGTTTAGTCATTTTTTCTCACTTTCTTCTACTACTCTGTCTCAGAGGTATTGCATTTACCTTTCCAAGTCAGCTATCAAAAAGTGTCATCTGTGTATCTTATATTGTTAAGATTACACACATTGATAATAAATCCTGAAAGGGTCTCTAGATCCCTTAGGATTGTGTTGGCATAGAGTTTGAATAAATCTGGATAGAAGACAAATCCTTGCCTTACACCCCTTTCTATTTTAATATAGCTACTTAATTTATTGCCTATCCCTATTGCAGAAAGTTGACTCCCAGTATAAGTTATGGATTATTCTCACATCTTTTCCAAATAGATTTATCTTTCTTAGCAGTTCAAATAGATCCTTAAATTTAAATTTTCAATCTGTTGGCAATTTTTGAAACAGCTTATTACATAAGTCTAAAGTGAAAGTATATAAGAAATAAACCCTATTTCCAACCCAATTACATACACACATAGGTATCATACCCTATTTGCAACACAATTGCATGCACACATAGCTATCACACCCTATTTGCAACACAATTGCATACACACATAGGTATCATACTAAAACATTTCCAGACTTAACTTTCTACCTAATATTTACAAACATGCCAAAAAGATGCCACAATACAACACATTTAAATCAGTGTTTATTGGTTAGAAATTAACATTACCACGTGAAATATTTGACCAATCAGAGAAACCCTATTTTTCTCAAGACCACTTTTGGGAAGAATTTCTTATAAAAACTCAGATTTCAACTTTCAAGGAGCAGAGATGTGGCTGTCTCCAAGCCTAACACAAGCCAACATGGCTACATAGCTTTCCCCCACCCCAGTGCATGCTGAAAGAAACATATGTCAGTAACTTCAACCAAATCATCTCCAACAACAAAGACAATCCGATGAATCTTTGCTAATGATAAAAGTTTTTTTCTCAAACACAGACTTTTTTCTATAGACTATTTAAGTCTTTTCTCAACAAGTTTTTCCTGTGAACCAATTACTCAAAGACTTTAACTCAACTAAAAACTATTTTTAATCATTTTTTACCCTTTTGAATTCATGTATATATGTTTGTAAATACAAATGATTTATTTAACAGGCATGTCCAGGTTTTCTTTATCTTATTGCTGTTTGGAATGTGGATATTCAGATTTTTAATATTAAAAACCTGGACAAGTGAAATCTAACAAATCATCTTTTTTATATGATAAAATACTTTCTATCCAATTTGAATATCAGAAAATTTTTACCTTTCTCAGCTGCCAAAATTGCCGCCAGCGTAGCATTCACATCCTTAGCCATATTTTTAGCATCGCCACAGACATAAAGAACAGCTCCATTGTCAATTAAATTGATTAGTTCCTTGCTGTAAGTGTGAATATTGTCCTGCACATAGCGTGGGGATCCTTCTTGCTGTTCATCACGGGAAAAACAAACAAGGAATTTTGTCAAGCAGCCCTTTTCAAGAAAATTATTTATTTCATCCCTATAAAAAAAAAAAAAAAAAAAGAAAAAAAAAAGAGAACAACATGAGCAATTGTGAAAGGAAAGTAAATATATAGACTGCATGCTCATTTTAACAAATATCTAACATTCAAAATGTTAACATACAAAAATACAAACAGATCTACATATGACACGTTCAACGGAAATTTGATTTTTTCATTGACAATTACTCAGTATATCGTATCCAAGTATTTTACAAAAACTTGGAGCCAATTACACAATATTCCAAGATTAATTTATGTTTATAGTATGCAATGAGATGAGGTAACATAAACCGTACATTTGTCTGCAGAAAATCATTACATTCTTGTTACATAATTATAGTGAAATCATTAAGGTTTTTTGGCAAAAATATTTTATTTTTGGTTGTATATTCATTTAAAATATTCCTTTTTACAGGCTTTATTTTTGAAACATTCTAAATTTCAGAATTTCACTATTGCCCATCAAAATGACTGGAAGAAAACGATCAATAAACAAAAATGGAAAAGAGAGGTAGCAAAATGTAAATGAAATAGCTCCAGTTTGTTCAACTTAGGAAACTTAGCATTGCCGCCAAAATATTCTAAAATGCTGCCAACAACCAAAGAGAAAAGGAAAAATACCAAACAACAAATCGAATATAGCATCAAAATTAATATTATTTTTATTTATTTGTTATGTAATTAAATACATAATTGTTAATAATGTTTCCATAAAACTTGATATTTCCTGCAATAAATTCTTAATAAATATTATTATTATTATTTTACTTAAATGTAAGGTAGTCCTACATTTACAATTCCTTATGTCTAACCATGAAAAGAAATGTTGATCAAAACTGCCTAAAACCTTTAAGCATATATTGCTGCAAAATTATCAAATGTTGACTACACCCCTCCTCCACTGAATGCATCAAATATTCCATGCAATTACATAAAGATGAATAACTATGTCTACAGCAGCAGGAGTGTTAATAAAAACTCAAGTTGTGGTGATGAAGGGACAGTCAATTCAGCTGCTACTTGACAATATAGCAAATGGCATAAAAACATGACATAGAAAGACATTCTTCTTCTTTTATATGCCATATCTTTTCAAGACATGGGTGATTGTGGCTCTCCACAACTTTCTGTCCTATGACATTAAGGTGTCTATAAAGTCTCTGTTTTAATGAAACATTAAAGTAACAAAAAAATTAATCATAGAATGAAAGTTTAGCAACACTTATTGAATTACCAAGAATAGGGTTTGAAATCTCAACCATCAGAATTCTTACATAGTTCAAATTATTCAGACACATTTAAATTCCTGGAACATGTATGCAGAATTTCATTAACATCAACATAAGTTATCCAATCATAGTTTACATTTGGCCAACTTGCAATTCGATACACTTCCAAACAAAAAAAAAATCCAACAGGTTTAGGTTTGTTGGCATAGCATCCAATCCACCAATTTGGAATCTATTCCTTCAGATGATCCCAAAGAATATAACCGCAAGCAAAGAAATCCAAAATTGTTGGCATAGCATCCAATCCACCAATTTGGAATCTATTCCTTCAAATGATCCCAAAGAATATAAACTCAAGCAAAGAAATCCGAAAGGGTGACCTCCCTGGTCATGGTCTCTTAATTCCCTATCCAGTCCAATGATATGGAAAGTATTCATTCCCTAAACATACTCTGGGGACATTTGTCAGGCTATAACTGACTGGACAATTCTCTCAATGTTGTGTTTCAATTCCAGTTTGCATTGAAGTGTACAAAATCTAAGGAAGTCATATGATTAGTATATAGAGTCAACCTGATTATGACGATTTTTTTTAGTAAAGAAAAGAATGGTAAAAGAGTTATACTTCATAATTCTGCAGTTAAATACACATGTTCTGTGAATGCCTAAAAGGTTTGCTCAGAGAACATTACCGAAAAAATAGAATGATGAAGACTAAGGAGCTCACCGGACAGTTCAGGGATAAAGTTGTGGCCATGCTTGATAACCATTACATCGCCTCAAGGTGCTCTATAGTTTTAGCATGAAAAAGTATTTTTATGCTGTTTTTCTAAACGTAGCTTAGATGTTGCACAAGGCCGTAAGTACGGGGCACCCAGTGAGGATCAAACTCACTACTCGGTCATAATTGTTACTCGTTAAGACATGCTCGCTAACCATTACACCACGTTGAGTTGCCACATTTAGAGGTCACCTAATTAATAAATAAAGTCCTCTTGGTTATGATAATTTATTTTTATTAAAGGAAAGAATAGAAAATGACTTATGACCCTTGATTCTGTATTCTGCACCTGTTCTGAGATAAAGTTATGGCCAAATATAAAGTAGGGTTAGGTTATCTAAAATATTGCATGGAGCACAATTAATTCATCATTCCAAACTGGAGAAAGAGCAACACAACCTGATGTATATTGACAAGGGAACTAAAAGGAGAAATTAATAGCATGTTGAAAAAATAAAAACAGGAATCCCGTTTCCAATATATTGGTTATTTATTCACTTGGAATGGTTTGGGGGTCAGTAGGTAGATGGTACTCAGGACAACTTTGCTATTTTCATCTTGACCAACTAAGGGACCAGATCTTCCCTTTGGTCAGTGAGAACTCCGACACTTTTCAACTACACCTCTTCTCATCTCTACACCATGACATGTGACTCACAACTGGTTGTTTGAAATGACTGATCATTCAAATTGACTCTGCCTATGTGAAAGCCTGCAATCAGAACCTCTTAACTTCCAGCCAAGTGGCACATGATCCTAAAAGTTTACATTTATTTTCTCATTTTCATTTAAGACAACATCTATTTTTTAAACAGTAAAATTAATGTCTATCAGCCTAGAGATTGAAAGTCTTACTAAATAAAATGTGCCTTCCAACAGGAATTAAACCTGTATTCACCTTTTAATTTAGGAAACTACTTTTAAGTCAAGGGAATACTGGTTCTATTTCTGTTAGGAAGCACTTTTTTCTTTTCTATTTTTTTTTTTTTTTTGTAGCAGTACTTTCAATCTCTAGGCTAGTAGACATTAATTTCAATTTAATAATAAAAAGATGTCTACTTAAACATACCCATATATCTATACATATATATTTTTAAATAGTAAAATTAATGTCTATCAGCATAGAGATTGAATGTCTTACTAAATAAATATATGAGTGAGACTTGAATAATGGGAAAAATATAAAAACTAAAATTAAACAACCCCACACTAAAACGGTCAGTCTAGCTATCTGCCCAATCCATAATCAGAAATGGTAGAAAGGACTGAAAAAGAAATATTCAAAATCTTTGAGGATTAGTAAAATGGTAACTCACTGGAAAAGGAAATCTTTTTTTTGGTATCTGCAACCATAGAAAAGCCAGGCTTCCCCAAGGTTTGCCTCTTGATCTTGTAGCCAAGAACGGTGCTGAAGGAACCCTATGAAAGGGGCTATACCAGTGCCTGGGCCAATCATGACTATAGGGGTACTTGCTTCAGCTGGAAGGTGAAAATGTCCAATAGTTCTGGTGAAAATAGGCACCTGCAAATGTAAGAAGACAATGTGTATGCATAGTATGATGCCAAAAGAGACAGGCTACCTGAGAAGCCAGGTGTGAAAGGAGAATGACCTGGAGTTACACCCAGTCACCAAATAGGCAAGCATGTGACCTCACACATTTCATCTGATTGTAGGGATAAGAAAGATTTGTGATATAAGTGGTTATATAAACAACTACCCCAGGAAGAGTTTGAGCAGTCTCCTATACAGCAAAGACAGAATGTAAAGTATATATATAATATATATATGTAACTTCTTGCCCATGGATCCATTACTGATCCTCTAAGAAGTCCAGAATATATTTTCCCTGATCAGTATTTAACCACAAACAAATTTTGGTGATTTTTTTTCACAGCTTTGCAAAACTAAGAGTTAAAGTGGAACATAAACAAATAAAAAAATTGAAATTGTTTTTTTAAGGATTATTATCTTTTACAAAGAATAAAATGTTTTGGGTTTTTTTCTTGCATATATGAATAGTTAAACAATTAAATCAGTATTTAAAACTGGAATAATAGCATTTTTTCTATTAAAATAAGTTATTTTGTTTTCAATTTCCAAATTGGAAAATAGATTTTGAAATTTCCTGAGATCCTATGAATTTTTTAAAAATTTCCACAAGAAAAAAAAGGAAATTTTTTACCTACCTGTGGTTTTTCAGCCAAGGATATTGCATTGATGTCTTCCTCAAGAGATTTCTCAGAATTCTGAGTCGTACGGATAGATCGAGTGATTTGCTCGAGCCAACCACTACAAACACCTTGACGCCGATAACGTCTACCCTGACCAGCAGGAATTTCAATGACATTAAAGACAATATGAAGTTTATTCCGATTGAGTTGTTGGGAACTACAAATGAAAAGCAGAAATAAATCTAAATAAAAGATCATGCACACCGAAAAGTGACTCACCATTTAACAGTTTCTTTAATTCTAACAGTTCAGAAACTAAAACTAGTAAACATTAATGTGTAGAGAAAAAAGGTGCATGTGGAAGTTATTGCCACCCACACACCCAATAGTTTATTTAATGTGTTCCGTTTTTTTTTTATTGTTACTTTAAATTAATTTTTTTTTTTTTTTTTTTTTAATTAAATGTGCTTGACAAATGCACTTTAAACATTTTATCCAATCACCAATTTTTATTACTTCAAACATTATTTTTAGGGGATGCCCATATTTGAGTAGACGCTTCGTTTTATTTTAAACAGTATTTATTTCATTTTCTAAGCTGTATACTCAAGAAAACTTATTGAAGAAAATGTGCCCTCCGGTAGAATTTGAACCTGCCTCTCCCTTTGCAACAGATCTACCATATAAGCATTAATATTATAATGTCGGTAAGATTTAACTCCCTTGGATTGGGCAAGAACATTCACCGAGAAAAAAAGCCTGGGCGATAAAATGTGACATCACAAGTTGTTTAAACCAAGCTGCAGAAATTAATTATTGTAAGATTTTTTTTAAAGTATAGAATACTTTTTAAATTACAATTAAAGAAAAAAAAAAGAAGCCAAGGTTCGAATTTCATCTTAGAACTTTATTCGATATTATAATAATATTATTTGTTTATTTTTTTAATTTATTTTTATAAATTAATAAACGTTTTTTATTCCGTAAAAATAAAATAATAATTTTTAATTTTTATAAGATCGATTTCTACCTAACATCTTTAAATAAATAAAGAACAAAAATAGATTAAAAATGCATTTTTATTTTAATGATTATTCCGATATAGATTATTTTTTTTTATATTTTACAATACATTAAAAAGAAAGAAACCAAGCTTCGATTTTTACCTTAGAATAAATTTTATTCAATTATCTTCTAAAGGAAAATTATAAATTGTTATATTTGTTGCTAAAGTAAATAGTGCACATTTCATTATTGAAAAGAATGTATTCCTTCTCCTTATTTAAAATTATTTGAAAACTATTTTCTTTCCAATAAAAAAAAAAATTGACATAGTTTTAAATTTGCTTTTATTTTATTTTAATTATTCTGTAATAATAAAGTTACAATGTGAACATTTTTGTTGTGTAGAAAATAATAGACAAATTATAAATAATCATAGAAAAAAAAATTTTACATTAGGGATATGGGAAATTTAACTAAACAAATTATAATTTTCCCTAGTACAAGAATTATTCAAAAGAACATTTGAAGAGCTCCAGACAATCATTCTTTCTAATTTTTTAATACTGTGACTCTCACCACAAGAATCTACATGAAAAAGATGATCATTATCTGCCAAAATACTCATGGTTATGTGCATAGCTAATTTCCTTTGACTTTATTGAATGAAGAGGAATTTTTTGTTAGTTTACCAATAACTATATAATTATAGAGAACAGCATTTGTAGTAGTATCAATAGGATGTAGCCGAGAACCTCTATTAATCCCTTGAAAATAGCTGTTTATTTCAGGTATTTTGTCCTCATTATCACTTCCAGATATTAAATTCTTGCAAATGTTGCATTTCATTTTCTCAAAAACTGCATAACAGCAATAACGTGCCAACAGGAACAACTTCTCTGCATTCATTAACACCATCTGTTACATCTATGTTAAATTTATAAATATCTAAATTTTGTCCCCTGCTGCTTGATCCCAGTTAATTTGTAAAATTCTTCAAATCAATACTTTGGCAGGCTCAATTTTAAAACTGACACCATTCTGATTTTTTTTCCACACTCAAACACTTGATATATATAGATATTAAGCTGATCTCCACCAAGTTTCCAATACTGACCAAATCTATCAAGGTGATCTGTTAAATTTACCAGGTAATACATACATCATTTTCAATTCTTCTGTGCAATATTTGGTCAGTTCTAGAATTACATGAGAAGTATGATGCCAAGCTATGATGGTTTCATTTGTTAGCTTCTCATTATTTTCAGGAATGCTATTCTAAGATTCTAACCAGTTACAGAATACATTGAAAAATATATAATCATCATCATTTAAGTGGATTAGCATATTTATTGTTAAACCGCCAATGTTTATATTGTGTTTTTACATTCCGTATTGTCCATCAAGTATAAATATGTTTATGTATTCTGCAAAGTTCAACAATCCCTGAATAGTGAATTGGTTAAAAATTTGCAAAACTAATGAAACATTTTGCCTTTCACGATTATTCAGAGAAAGAGCCTTTGAATTCAATTTATAACAATATTTCAAAATAGATCAAGATTCCAGAACATGTATCATCTGTAAAGTACAAAATGGGACACTTTGGATATTACCTAAATCATGATTTTCATCATGACAAAATTTTGGGAACATCATGCATTTGCTTGCATCTTTTTGACTAAGCCAGTTGTTTCTAATGCATTTTAGTATATGAACTGAATCGAATATGAAGAAAAGAAGTCTAGATTTCATCACTAGATATGGATATAGAATTGAAAGTTTTGCAGGACTACAAAAGAAAGATATAGCTTTCTTATTTATTACATTATTATCTCTTATAACTGATATTACTCTAAAGCCTATATCTTCTAGACCAATTATTATATGTTTAACTATGTCAAATTCTCAGCTTTAAGACATTTAGTTGGCATAATATACACAACATTCAAGTATTGTGAGAATACATTGCCAGGCATAAAAGACATCCATGGGTATGGCAATAAACTAGATCCGCGTCCATGGGTATGGCGATAAACTACATCCGCGTCCATGGGTATGGCGATAAACTACGTCTAACAGAAAGACCATTTTTGGAAAAATAATGTTGCCAGCTATACGTCTTTGGAAAAATAGTATTACCAGCTATACGTTTTCAAAAGAATAATGTTGCCAGCTATACGTCTTTGGAAAAATAGTATTACCAGCTATACGTTTTCAAAAGAATAATGTTGCCAGCTATACGTCTTTGGAAAAATAGTATTACCAGCTTTACGTTTTCAAAAGAATAATGTTGCCAGCTATACGTCTTTGGAAAAAATAGTATTACCAGCTTTACGTTTTCAAAAGAATAATGTTGCCAGCTATACGTCTTTGGAAAAATAGTATTACCAGCTTTACGTTTTCAAAAGAATAATGTTACCAGCTATACGTCTTTGGAAAAATAGTATTACCAGCTTTACGTTTTCAAAAGAATAATGTTACCAGCTATACGTCTTTGGAAAAATAGTATTACCGGCTTTACATTTTCAAAAGAATAATGTTGCCAGCTATACGTCTTTGGAAAAATAGTATTACCAGCTTTACGTTTTCAAAAGAATAATGTTGCCAGCTATACGTCTTTGGAAAAATAGTATTACCAGCTTTACGTTTTCAAAAGAATAATGTTGCCAGCTATACGTCTTTGGAAAAATAGTATTACCAGCTATACGTTTTCAAAAGAATAATGTTGCCAGCTATACGTCTTTGGAAAAATAGTATTACCAGCTTTACGTTTTCAAAAGAATAATGTTGCCAGCTATACGTCTTTGGAAAAAATAGTATTACCAGCTTTACGTTTTCAAAAGAATAATGTTGCCAGCTATACGTCTTTGGAAAAATAGTATTACCAGCTTTACGTTTTCAAAAGAATAATGTTGCCAGCTATACGTCTTTGGAAAAATAGTATTACCAGCTTTACGTTTTCAAAAGAATAATGTTGCCAGCTATACGTCTTTGGAAAAAATAGTATTACCAGCTTTACGTTTTCAAAAGAATAATGTTGCCAGCTATACGTCTTTGGAAAAAATAGTATTACCAGCTTTACGTTTTCAAAAGAATAATGTTGCCAGCTATACGTCTTTGGAAAAAATAGTATTACCAGCTATACATTTTCAAAAGAATAATGTTGCCAGCTATACGTCTTTGGAAAAATAGTATTACCAGCTATACGTTTTCAAAAGAATAATGTTGCCAGCTATACGCCTTTGAAAAAATAGTATTACCAGCTTTACGTTTTCAAAAGAATAATGTTGCCAGCTATACGTCTTTGGAAAAAATAGTATTACCAGCTTTACGTTTTTCAAAAGAATAATGTTGCCAGCTATACGTCTTTGGAAAAATAGTATTACCAGCTTTACGTTTTCAAAAGAATAATGTTGCCAGCTATATCGTCTTTGGAAAAAATAGTATTACCAGCTTTACGTTTTCAAAAGAATAATGTTGCCAGCTATACGTCTTTTGGAAAAAATAGTATTACCAGCTTTACGTTTTCAAAAGAATAATGTTGCCAGCTATACGTCTTTGGAAAAATAGTATTACCAGCTTTACTTTTTCAAAAGAATAATGTTACCAGCTATACGTCTTTGGAAAAATAGTATTACCAGCTTTACGTTTTCAAAAGAATAATGTTGCCAGCTATACGTCTTTGGAAAAATAGTATTACCAGCTTTACGTTTTCAAAAGAATAATGTTGCCAGCTATACGTCTTTGGAAAAAAATAGTATTACCAGCTTTTACGTTTTCAAAAGAATAATGTTGCCAGCTATACGTCTTTGGAAAAATATATTACCAGCTTTACGTTTTCAAAAGAATAATGTTGCCAGCTATTCTTTGGAAAAATAGTATTACCAGCTTTACGTTTTCAAAAAAATAATGTTGCCAGCTATACGCGTTTTTGGAAAAATAGTATTACCAGCTTTAAAAAAAGAATAATGTTGCCAGCTATACGTTTTTAAAAAAAAATATTACCAGCTATACGTTTTCAAAAAGAATAATGTTACCAATATACGTTTTTGGAAAAATAGTAAAAAAAAAAAAACGTTTTCAAAAGAATAATGTTACCAGCTAAACGTCTTTGAAAAAATTACCAAAACGTTTTCAAAAGAATAATGTTACCAGCTATACGTCTTTGGAAAAATAAAACCATTTTACGTTTTCAAAAGAATAATGTTAGATCGTTTTTGGAAAAAATAGTATTACCAGCTTTATTTAAAAAAAAAAAATAATGTTACCAACAATACGTCTTTGGAAAAATAGTATTACCAGCTTTACGTTTTCAAAAGAATAATGTTGCCATAAAATACGTCAAAAAAATAGTATTACCATGCTTTACGTTTTCAAAAGAATAATGTTGCCAGCTATCATCTTTGGAAAAAATAGTATTACCAGCTTTACTTTTTCAGAAAAGAATAATGTTATTAGCAGTGCTTTTTGAAAAATAATTACCAGCTATATATTTTTGAAAAAAATAATATTACCAGCTATACATTTTTAGAAAAATAATATTGCCAGCTATATGTTTTTAGAAAAATAATATTGCCAGCTATATGTTTTTAAAAAAAAAAAAAAAATATTACCAGCTATACAATTTTTAAAAAAAAATATTACCAGCTATACAATTTTAAAAAAAAATATTACCAGCTATACGTTTTGGAAAAATAAGCAATATATTTTTGAAAAAAAAAAAAAAAAAAAAAAAGAAAAATATATATTACCAGCTAAACATTTTTTGAAAAAAAAAGAAAAATATTATCAGTGACAGATTTGAAAGAAAATCATTATCAGAAATAGATTTTTTGAAGGATAAATTTTACCAGAAATAGATTTAAAAAAAAAAAAATTTATTACCAACAATAAAAATTGTCAGCATTAAATGACCCATTGAGGTTGATATGCCATAAAACAAAGACAAACCAAACCAATGCTAGACATAAAAGCTAAAGCACTTGTTGCAGGCTCATTGCTCTTGTCAGATAAGCCAACATTAGCACCTTTATAATCAACATAAGGTTTCAGGTGTATTTCATCTACAAGTAAAGATACTGTAACATCTTTTTCCTCTAGTAACTTAAATTTATTTTTAATATACATAAGAAAATTATGTTGCTCAACTATAGGATTTATATAGATTGATAAAGTTAGTTTTCTGATGGCTAAATAACTAGGTAAAATTATATTTTTGATGTCTCTTAACAGCCTAACCTCTAGGGGAGCAGTTACACAACAATGAAGATAAAAGTTATCATTTCTGTTGAATAATCAAACTTACTGCTGTATCCTTAAAGAGGTTACAAACAGACAAAGATGGTACTCGAGTGAAGGAACAGCAACACGCGCGTAGATGAAGTAAGTAAGTAATCACACTTTGAGGTTTGGTTCTATGCCCATTTTTTTTCTTGTTTTCAATAATTTCCAAATTATTTGTATCACTTACATGATCAGGAATCTCATACTTCTCCTATAGTATGTAGGAATATTATTATTGTTACAAATAAATAAAATAAAACAATAATATTTAAACTTTGTTTAAAATAAATTAAAAATCATAAAATTACACCCAGCATGCAACAAAAATTGCTCCTGATGGAAATACGGACATAACACCAAAAGATATGAGTTTCAATCACTTCGCCCAAGAATCACATGCGTAACTTCCCTCTATCATAGGATTTGTGACTTCCCTTTTATAACAAACATTATCAAACCAAATCAAGAAAACTCAAACAGTAAAAACTAATGAAAGTACTTCTCGGAGTTTTTACTACATATAGTGACATCAGCACATAATGCCCGCCCATCAAACAGACTTTCTATCTAGGTAGTGTTAGTAAGCATGAAAGGATATAATTGTTAGGTCTTCTTTTATGTGCTGTGTCCATTAAGGATGTAGGTGATCGTGGCTTTCCACAATTTCCTAGCTTTTGTAGCTCTTAGTAAAGTTTGTCTTTTTGCTATCTCTCCTAATCCCTGTTCTGCTAACCATTTACACAAGTTTATTAGGTAGATTTTGCACTGCTTTCCTCTCTCCTTTTTGTCTTTAATGTCATGTGAGTGTCAAATTTTCTAAGCTCTCTTTCCACATTATGTGCCCTACAATTTTCAACTGTCTTTTTCTGATGCTAAGTGTCCATTTTGTTTCCATTTTCCCTAAAACTATATTGTTGCTCACAATTTCAGTTTATGGAATTCTCAGCATCCTTCTGTCTATCTTTTTATATACTAATTTGAGCCACTCAAAGTAGAGGGCTACTGAATAAGATTGTTATACAAGCATAAAGGGAGGAGGGAGCTATGTTGATATGTAGGAAAGATAACAGTTGACACTAAATTTGAAGAGGTTAAAATTGTATTGACTAGGAAAGCATCCTCTCAGGAGTCTGTTCCACAAAGTGACAGCTCTGGAGAAGAAGCTGTCTTAGAAGAACTTCCTCCTTATCAATGGAATATGCAGAAGAGAAGATGACTTACCTCATGTGGCAAAACTAGCATGTATATGCCAATGTGCAAAATGAGTGAAGGAAAGGAAAAAGAAATATGGCTGCCCTAACACCTTAATTTAAGAAAGACACAGTCTCGGAGCGAGGACAATTGGTTGTTGGAATTTTTGGGTACCCTGGTGTACTAGTGAGCCAGCCAAAATGAGCTGACTCATTTTATAGTTCAACAATAGAAGGCTTAACCAATCAGAAGACTCAAAATATTCAATGCGACGTGTATAAAGGCGGCCATGTTTTTCCTGAATATTTACTGCCAACCTCTGATATCGAAGACTGAAGAATTATGGAACAGCTGCTGCTGGTGGTATTGGCAATATAGTCAGATCCAGTAGAGTGTCCGACTCGTGAGTATTAATCTTTAACATTGTTTTATTGAACAGATTACATACTGCGCTGTATTCTATGTTCATAGACTTGGCGAACATGGCCAACATTGTTGAGAGTGGTTGGGCGTATGCAAATTTTTTCACGAGATTAGTTTGGCATAAAAACACCATGTGCAAAAGAAAACATGAACATGGTACTGTGTATATGGAGACACTTTGTCAGCTGGGAAAACAATTACTTGGGTCAGTTTTACACAGAATATGAATGGAATAAGGATGAATGGCACTGGTTTATGTGGCATGACAAGTCTTAGCAGTAAAGGTCTGAACTGGTTGAATAAAGGAACATATCTTGTTGGAATATTTGCCATAGTAATAACGATAGAGTAGCAAGAGGTTAGTGAAGTTTTGTTTACATTAAAGGGATTGTAGAGTGGAAAATAAGTCATAATATCTTTATATTCCCTTCCTCACTAGCCATTCTCCCACCCCTGGTATGTATCTTTCTACTCTCTCCCTCATCTGTTATCCCCTGACTCTTCCATTCTCCCAACCTTAACATGTCTCTTTCCAAAGTCTTTCCAATGCTTTTCTAGAGTAAAATCATTTTCCAGTGCTTTCCAAAATGATTTTACTATAGAAATTCATTGAAAAGTGATTTTACTATAGAAATCAATAGTAAAATCTATTTTACTATAGAAATCAATAGTAAAATCCCTTTCCAATGCATTTCTATACTAAAATCATTGGAAAATGATTTTACTATCGAAATGCATTGGAAAGTGACTTTAGAAATCAATAGTAAAATCCCTTTCCAATGCATTTCTATAGTAAAATCATTTTCCAATGCATTTTCATAGTAAAATATCCATATCATTTGGCTAAAGAAAAATTGTCTTAATACAATATCAAAACAGGTAAATCTATACAGAGATATTTTGGCAAAGAAACCTCAAAATAAAATTCTCAAAGCTGAAGCCTTCAAAAATCTGACAAATTAAACAAAATTTAACTTGAATAGAAAACAAAAGAATCAAACTCACCAAGCAATGGAATAAGGTCGAGGAAGAAGTCTGGGTAAAAATTCTGTAATAGAAAATATTTACAAATTATTATAAGATCTAAGTTTTGGTAGGAAACAAAGAGGAAACTTATACTTAACATCAGGAAGAGGCAACTGAAATTTCTGGAACATGTAATGAGAAAGGAGGGCTTGGAAAATCTGATACTCACAGGATGGATAGATAGAAAGAGGGACAGGAGTAAGCAACACATAACATACTTAATGGGCTTGAGCAAGTGGTTGACAGAACAGGGTCTGGGAGAAATAACAAAAAGACAAAACTTATTAAGAGCTACAAGGGACACGAAGATGTGGAGGGCCATGATTGCCTACGCCTAGAAGGGACGCAGCACATAAAAGAAGGAGGTGGTGTGCAAAGCAGAAAAGGTGATTTATTTATAAAGAAAAAAAAATTAATGAAATTTTGATGTCAGGGTAGTGCAACAGTTACGGGAACATAAATTAAAATTAGCAAGCAGAGTTCAAATTATACAGTTTGATTTCTTTAAAAAAATTGTAGGATATTATATGGATTAATATCATGAAAGATTTCTTTCAGGTTGATTGGTTGATTCGTTAGTTGATTTTTAGCGACATGTCAACCTCTACGGTTTATTTAATGCCAAAATCTAAATATTTTAAACACAAAACCTCCAATCTTCCAAACAGAGGCCTTGCTACCAAATGTAGTCTATTTTCATACCCTGTCTGTTCAACAAGAGTAGAGGTTTATTCTTTGTTTCATGTTTAAAACTGGGTTTCCAGCTTCTAAAGTCTTACCATACCCTTTCACTTCCAGTAGACTCTTGTGTTTTTGTGGCATTATAACCTTGCTCAGACTGAATTTATTAAAAGAAAAAAATGCATTGCTAATTTCTGTTTGAATTTCTGGGACAAGGAGTTTGTATTATTTACACTATTGTCCTCATCTTTGTTATTGTTATCACAACGTTTTGGCTGTTGCGTTCTCCGGACATCATCAGGTGTATATCAATCCAGGTAACTTGCAGGGAATTCTGAACTGAACCCTTTATTTAATCTCCTTAATTTAAGACAAGATATCCCTACACATGGGCAGTCGAACTAGAACAGTCTATCCATGTAAATTAAATAAAGGATTCAGTTCTGAATTATCTGTAGGTTACCCCGATCAGTATACACCTGAAGAAGATTGAAGAGCACAACAGCTGAAAAGTTATAACAACAACAAAGATGAATGCAAATCATTTTTTACTATAGAAAGTAACATAAGTGGTTTACTACAGAAAGCATAGCTATAGAAATGCCTTTAGTCAATGACTCAAAAATACGTGGCAAATACATTTACTCCAGAAATACTAAAAACTTTATTAAAGAAGAAAAAATGCATTGTCTTAAATTTTTAGATGAAAAAAAATTGCTATACAAATTTGTTCAGACTATCATTTTCATGTTGGTTGTAATTGACTTATTTTGTTGGATATCAGAGGAATTATATTACTTCATCTTATATCCCAAGTGGTAATGGTAATATTAGTTGTTTTCTTATAAGGAAACATTCAATATTCATGGTGATATGAAAAAGTGTGTTTGGGAAGTGTTTAATAATGTCCCTTCAAGATATTTTCTTTGTAATAGTTATTATTATATTTCATAGACTCCAGCCATCTTCAAGAATTTGCTGTAGTTGATAACCTTCCAGAAGTTAATCCCCTTAACCCCCAATCATGGATTTAATAAATTGTTCAAGAAGGCTGGAGAGTACAATGACTAAAACGTGGCAATAACAACCAAGATGAGGATATTAGTCCAAGTAAATTTGTATAATAATATTAATTCCTTATTATAAAAATTAAAAATATTTGCAGTGTTTCCTTTAGTAAAATTATTTTAATAATGTAAAATGATTTGCCATATATTTCTTGAAAAAATTTTGCCATGTTGTATATCTAATGTAAAATTATTTGCTATGCAGTAATTCTAGAGTGAAATAATTTGCCATGTTGTATTACTAGAATGAAATAATTTGCCATGTTTTATTGCTAGAGCAAAATAATTTGCCATGTTTTATTGCTAGAGCAAAATAATTTGCCATGTTTTATTGCTAGAGCAAAATAATTTGCCATGTTTTATTGCTAGAGCAAAATAATTTGCCATGTTTTATTGCTAGAGCAAAATAATTTGCCATGTTTTAATTCTAGAGCAAAATAATATGTCATGCTTTAATTCTAGAGCAAAATAATATGTCATGTTTTAATTCTAGAGCAAAATAATATGCCACGTTGTAATTCTAGAGCAAAATAATATGCCACGTTGTAATTCTAGAGCAAAATAATTTGCCATGTTGTATTTCTCAAGCAAAATAATTTGCCATGTTGTAATTGTAGTGCAAAATAATTTGCCAAGTTGTATTAGTAAAGCGAAATTTGCCATGTTTTATTACTAGAGCAAAATAATTTACCATGTTAAGTTTTATATCTAGAGTAAAATTATTTACAATGTTGTATATCTATAGTAAATAATTTGTCATGTAATATATCTACAGTAAAATAATTTACCAACTTGTGTTTTATAACAAATATAAAAGACTCAATGAATCACTCCAAAAAATGTTTTTTTTAATGATTAACATGTAACATTTTGTATTTAATAATAATGAAGAAATAAAAATTCAAAAGATACTTTCTATCAACAAAAAAAGCAATAAGATCTTACCAAGGAGACGTTCAAAAGGTGGTGATACAATAGACGGAAAACTTAGAAGAAGATCAAGTAAAGAGATTTCTGGTTCACGAATATGTTTGTTATATTCCTCCATTCCTTCTTTGCTGCATAATTCTCGGAGCCGGAATTTTTCTTTCTCCTTGTTGGCATGTTCAACAAGCATTCGAAGAAGAGCCTAGAAAGATAACAAGTGAAGAATTCAAGAACTGTTTCTTTTGTGTTCCTATGCTGAACATTATCCTTGTTATTTATGCAATATTCATTGTTCAGACTGTTGCCCACATCTTTGTTGTTATATTTACATTTTGGCTGTTGTATGCTTCAGCCTTCTTCAAGTGATATCTTGAAGAGGCATGGCATGTGGAACTAGAACAATCTACCCTGGTGGATGATATAAATGGTTCAGTTCGAAATTCGAAGCACCTGAAGAAGGCCAGAGCATACAACAGCCGAAATGTTGTGAATATAAGAATAAAAATGAGGACAATACAACAGTCCAAACAATGTAAATAGCGTAAGTAGTTACAATACCTCATCTCAGAAATATAGACATATTATCCTTGCTATAATGATATTTTTTTTTTTTTACATGTTTCATTCAGTTCATTCTTGCATATTCTTCAGTTTCCTTGGCACAGAATTTTGTTGTAGTTTCTAACTTATAACGTGGTCTGGTTTGTAAACTGATGTAATGGAATAACCTGTCCCCCCCATGAGTGACTACACTATAGGTAGTAACTACCTACAAGTATCTGTAAGGCAACAGACTACAGGAGACTTGCTGGAATCTGTTCCAGCAAGATGGTCGAACTCTCTGTCTTCGGGCAGAAAGGAACCCGGACGAGGCTCTGCTGAAGAGCAGAGTCTCATTCGGGGAGGTTGACCAACCTGATTCTGTTTTTGCAGTTTCTACGAGCATTTTCGGCCAAGCCTATATGCTCGGAAAACCCACGTAAAACTCGGCCTTGTTACACATCTTTCCCTCGTTGGGAGGGTAAGTAAATATTGACTTGCTGGAATCTGTTGAGTACGACTCAGACTTATGTGAGAACTACTGACCTTTCAATAGCAGCACTCACTACTGGATTGACTTGTGACGACCTTGTGCATAACTGTTACCTTATTTCTTATTGTACTGGTTATTACAATAAACCATTACTTATTTTATCCACCATGTTTGTCAAGTATATATTCCTATTAGCACGGAATATAACAAACATACTAACCAGAGAAATCACCCAACATTTTGTTTCAATTCTTATTCATGGTATACAAACTAGGGAAAGGCCTATTTTATATTCACAAAATCTGAAATAACAACAGCCATCAAAAAAATGAAAACATGAATCCCATTTCCATTATATTGGTTATTTTATTCTGAGATTCACTTGGCATGAACTGGAGATAGATAAGAGACATTTGAAACAACTTCCGTCATGACACACTAACAGATCAGCTCTTTTGGTCTGTGAATACCAATTCTCCCTCTCCTACCAGCCCTCTACCCATCTATACAGCATGATGTGGGGCTTGCTACTACTCTCTAATGGGCAGCCAGGAACTCTTTGAATAGATAGTCTGTACCCTGGCATGGGCTGATTTAGTTGAATTTGAGTGTACTCTTAAATTCTTTAAAAATAGTTTTGTGCTGATTCTGATAGTGTACTTTGACAGATGAAATATTTTTTTATAGACATTGATTTCCAGGTTGCTTAGATTTAATCTTCATACTCATTCTGGCTTTGCTTAAATCTTCATACTTATTCTGGCTTTGCTTAAATCTTCATACTCATTCTGGCTTTGCTTAAATCTTCATACTCATTCTGGCTTTGCTTAAATCTTCATACTCATTCTGGCTTTGCTTAAATCTTCATACTCATTCTGGCTTTGCTTAAATCTTCATACCCATTCTGGCTTTGCTTAAATCTTCATACCCATTCTGGCTTTGCTTAAATCTTCATACCCATTCTGGCTTTGCTTAAATCTTCATACCCATTCTGGCTTTGCTTAAATCTTCATACCCATTCTGGCTTTGCTTAAATCTTCATACCTCTTCATACCCATTCTTGCTTTGGTTAAATTTTGACACTGATTCTTGCTTTGGTTAAATTTTGACACTGATTCTTGTGGCATTCCACTCTAACTAGATTACAAGACAACCACAGAGTTGTTAGAAACTGAGAGCTGTTTTCTGGTTTAGAAAGTGGGAACATAATTACAGTTTATATCTAATTGATTATTAAGCCTTGCTTTGCTGTAAGGGCATCCATGGCCAAAATGATAAAGGTATGCCCAACAAAAAAGTGATTTCCCATAAGAAAAAAAAATGCAAGTTTGATTCCTGCCCAGAGGTACATTTTCTTTAATAAGACTTGCTTGGCTGGTAAACATTAATTTCACTATTTGTAAACAAACAAGGAAGTAAATGTTTTATTTGTAAATAAAAGAAATCTATCCACTACTAAAATAATATCTATAGTATTGTGATATTTTATGGACACCCACGTAGAAAGTGGAGAGTTGGTTTTATCTTGATCTCTAGTGTTTCTGTTTGATGGAAAACCGAACCATCTGTTGGTCTAAGCAGCATCTATTTTAACTGAATGGGAGATAAACCACTGAATAGGAAAGTTTGGAAATCAAGTGGCAAAAACTGGAAATAGGGTATATCCAGATGCTGGGCCATATTAACAGTCATGCTTAGGATCAGGAAGAGTTCTGACGTTATCATGTGGTTCCTGTGCTGTCCATTTTTATTGCCAGCCACCATATCAGGAGGAGTAGATGAGTAAAGAATCTGTAGGGGGAAGAGCTGAGCACCAGCATAGTGGAAGTTGTCCCAAGTATCACCTACCTACCCACACAGCTCCGAACATCTACATTATAGGAAACAGAGTTTGCATTCTTATTACTTAATGTGGCATTTGTCTTTCATTGTTACCTTGTGAGCAGCTGTGGGCCCTTTCTCAGCTTTCAGTGTACACTAACAAGAACAAGAATCAAAATGCAATGATGGGGAAATCCTTGGCCAGTCGGTGGAAGGCTTGGGTGGGGATTGGGTTATATGTTGACAGTAAGAAATATTGTTGATTTAAAAATTTATTAATTGCTTAAATTATATATATGCATAAATTACATAGAAACAAAATAAGCATAAATTATATACAAATAATGTTAGCCTTACCTTTTTCGGAGGTTGGCGTATGTCCAGGCAGTGTGTTAGCACATGCCTTATTGTACATTTGTTGGGAATGTAGTTTGGACATGATGCCTTCTTTTTGGTTGTAGTTGGAGAAACAGAAAGTTCAAAAGGAATATCTGCACTCTCGACAAGACCAAGTCTAAAGGAGAAAGATTAAACAGGAAAAAAGGCCAACGTTTAAATATAATATTGTGATATTACTATTTGTAAATAATTGTTGAAAACACAAATATAATAGCATCATCTACATGTAAAAAAAGTCTAAAAATAATGGAAGCCTTATTAATAAAAAAAAAAAAAAAAAAAAAAAACAACACTCAATAATATCAACTATGAACATGGACACAATGGCTTGAGTATGTTTTGAAAATGAAAACATTATATAAATACATACATACAACAAACTATTTCTTGTTTACAGTTAATGTATTTCAACCTTGAAAATGGCTAAATGTATAGCCAAAAGTGCTTGGATAAAAAAACTATTGGACAGTTTTTATATAATTTATCATCTGAAAGGAAAAAAAATTATAGGATGACATGAGAAATTGTATAAAAAAAACTAAATCAAAGCACCTTGTCTCTTGTATTCAATGAAATATGCATGAAAGAAGGATTGCTGCCTAAATACGCAAATATATATGATAAAAAATAGTTTTAAGGTATGCTATATTTACGGGTAAAAGTGCACAATATCAAGGATAGAGCAGGAGTAAATGTAAAGTATATAATTGCACATGCGTATTACTTCTGAAATTTAAAATAACAAACGATCCTTTTTATTTACCTGTGAATAAGAACATCAACTTCTCTTTCGTCATTGGGACATATCACAGAAATGGCATCACCAGGTTGGTAGGAAATGGCATTGGAATTCTAAAAGACATCAAATCAAATCTTCAAGTCATTCAAAGATTTACAGATATTTGTTCTCAAGATAAATATAAATTGTTTTGAACATAAAACACATTTTATATATATATATGTATTTATATGATAAAATATAGTTTCATGGTATGCTATATCTATGAGTTAAAGTGCTTAATATCAGGGACAGAGTGTATGGAAATATAAAAGTGGATAATGAAGTCAACACCCAGAGGCAACAGTCTGTTTCATGCTGAACAGAATCCTCAGGTCATATATGTTGTGCTTTTGTTCAACTATTTATATATACAGTTCAGTGATGCATTGTGGGTAGTCTAGTGTATTAGTCTAATGGTTATTTTGATGGGCAGTAAGAGCTGTGTTTCAAATTATTCTAGGGGCTATTGAGGGGGAATAATTGTGACTCCAAATTCAGTTTTTTGGTTATTTATAGTGTTGTTAGTTAACATTTTTTATTTATTATTTTATTGTTGACCGTTATTACTACTTTTTCTTGTGTTTTTCTGTGTGTACATGGTTTGTTAATTTGTTTATTATTTACTTAATTAATTTACTGCACACTTGCATCAGATTGCATTTCCAGAACCAAGTCAGCAGAGTCATCCAAACTTTGCTACTGGTTATCGTTACAGTGGTGAGACAAGATATATGGCAATACAGCGCCATCTACCATAAACTTTTAAATTTAATAACTCAAAAATGAAAGATTTGCAGACATATGCTTATATGAACTTTTGTGCTTGTTTTGGTGAGGAACCTGCCCCCAAAGTTTGTATAAGTATTTTTGAGACACCCTGTATAAACCCATGTATAAAATACTGCACAATGAGTACTGGTAGTAATAAAAGTGCTTGATGTAAATTAACAGCTAAAATTCATACTATTAATAATAAATTTGGTACAACTAATTTTCATGCACCATGCAATTTTCTAGTATTGACTGAAAACTTTTAAAACAATGAGGAAAAAATGTATATTTATTATTTAGCATATATATATATATATATATATATATATATATATATATATATATATATAAAATATCATTCACAGTCATTACTGTTTCACTGTATCACAGCTCCTCAAAACCCGACTGATTTGGTGTCGGTCAGAGTTTTTACCCCTAAGCCATCACCACTCAGCAGAGAGAAACTGCTAATTCTAGCATATTGGTTTTACGTATATAAACAAACACCAGTCAGTCAGAGTGCTCATATTCATTTTATCAAAGAGCTTTGTGTGTTAGTATAGGTGACTGCTGTTTGTAGAATTAGGCTGTCTATAATGGTTTTCTTATGATTTTCTTTCATTTTAATTTTTGCTTTTTATAATTTACTAGGCCATCAGTGGAGAGCAATGAGCAAATAGTACCAAATCTGAAATAATAAATTATAAAACTAATAACCAAAAAAACTATTACTTTTTTGCCAAAGAATAATTTGTCTGCACAAATTTAAGGTGTAATCAATCAATCACTATTTATTTAAAGCCTGTCACTATTGGTGAAAAGTAACTTAGGCAATTATCTTAGGCAGATATCAGAGTTTATAACAACTCTTGCTTTGAATCTGATCATAGACAAAAAAACTTACAACCCCAGCCAATAAAATAGTCTGCTTTTACTGACATAAACCATGACCAGCACCTGAATATAATATCCAAGAACTAAAAAATGAAAATATAAGATTAGAATTTTTTAATGAAGTAGAATCCAAATTGATGTCCCTAAATATTGATGATAATAAAGAAATCAAATGTTATTTTATCTTCCTTGGCTGAAACAGGCGAGATACTTCCTAAAATATGTCTACAGAAAATAGATCCCCCATGAAACGACAATGCTGATTTGAAAAGAGTGATACTAGAAAGAAACAAGCAGAGGACGAAGAAAAGTGATAAATAATGATAACATCCAACAAAACCAAAACAGAAGAAATGTCCTGGTCTCAAAAGACACTTCAAGTCACATTTCAACCCTGACTACACAAATGCCTAGAGAATTAGAACATACAACAATATACACCCAAGCATTACAATGTCTTTCTCCAAACATAAACAATAATGAATCTAATGGTGAGGAGGTAAAGAACGCTATAAAAAAGCTAAATAATAACAAAGCATCACTTGGCATTGAGGCTGAAGTTAGTGCACCACCCTCTCCCTGAATTTAGAAACAACTTTCTAAATTTCTTAAAGGAAGATTACAATCAGAAGTGTGTCATCAAAAAGTGGGATGTATCATGCATTAATGCACTATGAAAACAAAAAGGTAACCCCTAAGACTGTCACACATCCAGAGGTATATCAATTAGATCCATGATGGTAAAGGTACTAATGAACATTGTACTAACTAGGCTTTTAACATTCTATGAAAATCAACTCCTCAAAACTTTAAATCTAGTAAGGAGTATAATGATGGAATATATGTCATCAAACAACTCCAGGAAATTGCTTACTTCTCCATAGAAAATTATATACTTACTATGTAGACCTCACAGACGCACATATATATATATATATATCTCAATAGAGACTTCTCACCCATGAGAAACTGCCTCCTCAGCTCTGAATTCATTGATTGTTCAGATCAGATAGAACTATATCCTTCCACAAAAATTCATATGCCAAAAATAAATATGATTTCAAAAATTAAAATATTATTATGGATTACTTGTAATTGTATGCATGAGTCCCAGTATAAATAATTATCAACCGATTTTATCATTGTGGTATTTTTGCATTATATCAAGTATTAAGAATATAGTAACTAGGTCTGCAAATTGGAGAGAGAGTTATCAATGATAATGTTCTAAATTTGAATCTGCAGTTATCTCCCTTTATCCCTGTCGCTGTTTTCTTTTTATTTTTAGATGTAGTTTTTATCACATAAAATTTGGTGAGGTGCATGCAAATTCTAATTTCGAAAATGCGGCCCAGAGAAAAAAAAATTTAGGAACCACTAACTTAAACAGTTTATATTGTATCCTAAATGAATCTACTAATAGAAAACATCATTTCTGCTTCCCCTCCCAAGGCCAATGTACTAATGATGAGGTGGGGGGGGTGAATGTTGGAAATGAACATTTTTTCATAAAGACTTTAAAATCATTTTAGTTTGTAAATAATTAGATTTGATTGGCTGATTTTGTTTAGCGTCATATCAACCTCATGCATTAAAATTTAAATAATTTTGTTTTTGTGAAACATGCGAGCAATAACTGAACAGTATTAAATAAAAATAAGAACTACACAATATCCTTAGACATGCACAGTGGAACAAGAACAATCTACTCCCATAGATTAAATAAAGAGTTCAGTTCAGAATTCCCTTTAAGTTACCCAGATCAGTATACACCTGAAGAAGGTTGAAGAGCACAACAGCTGAAAAGTTGTGATAACAACAACAAAAATGAAGGCAATAGCTCAAATACAAATAGTGTAAATAATAATTTGTCTTTGTATTTACTGCATTTTCTTGTGTATAATACAAGAAATTTTGAATAAAAATTAAAGGTAAAAAAGTGTGGGTTGTATTATTCAGAAGTACAGGTTTTCAGAAATTTTTACTCAGCTTAAAAGAAAACACTTATTTGAAACAGTAAGATTGCAAATACACTCAATTACCACAATCTATACATATATAAAGGGCATGTGTGTGTGTGTGTGTGTCTGTGCAGATAAAACTAAAAAACTACAATAGTTCATGACAAAGTAAATATGTATGCAGATTCACTATCAAACAAGCCAGCATTTTTTTTTTTTAAATTATCATATGATTTGTATTTATGAAGATAATTTAAAATTAAAATGCATTAGAATGCATTTGAAATTCTCAGAATTTTTTAATTGTAAAAACAGTAAGAAATCTTATTCTGAAATCGGATTGCCGTTAGTTTTTCCTTTTTTATTCTGCTAAACACTATCCAAGTATGTAATTTTAAAATTTTTATTCTCTTGAATTTCACATCTACAGTAAATAAAAGCATAACTTTAAAAAATGAATATTAAAAAAAAGTAAATTTAAAAGAAAAAGAATATTAAATACAATTATTCAAAAAAATTTAATATTTAATTATTCAAATATTCGAGTGTGTGTTTGACTAAAACATCTAAAAGTAAATAAACTAAATTAAGATGTATTTAAACATATTTAATTCAATCATTTTTTAAAGCAAAAACTATAGTGAGCCTTACTTCTTCGAAAAATAATCATTTACTATTTATTTTGGAGGGGATTATTATTAATAAAAAGTAAATAAACATATGAATTAATAAAATTAATAAAAAAGTAAATAAACATCTAAATTTAAAAAATTAATAAAAAAGTAAATAAACATATAAATTAAAAAATTGCAGGCTTAGCGGAAAGAGTTGTATTAGTTCTCAAAGTGACCTCTTGGTGACAGTGGCGGGCCTTTCAATTGTAAACAAAGATGGAATATACGATACATTAGCAAGTGTTTGAGAAAGAAGCTCTGAGAAATCTATTATTTTTGTTATTTTGCTTAATATATCTATATTAAGCATATATTTATTTATGCCATATATATATGTTTATAGTATTTACATGATCATAACTAGTGGTAGTTACTATAGTGATTTTATAACTCAAAAATAACCTCTTCCAATCTACAGACAATTGGTTTTAACAGTTTTATTAGTCCATTGATAAGAGGTTTGTCTGTAAATGCAGAATCAGTATCACCTTAAAGGACAGTTTTTTTTTTTTTGTGTGTGTGTGTGTGTGTGTGTGTGTGTGTGTGTGTATTATTGACTTATTAATATTTTTCGGCCATCTTATGGAAAATAATTTTTTTATCCAAATTTAAAAAAATAAACTACATTGTTTTTTTTTGGTTTGTAACTAACATAAAAAAGGTAAATAATTTTCAATTAAGTTATATTAAAACAAAAAAACTATAGCAAACCTTATTTTTTAAAATTAATTTAATAAAATATAGTTAAATTCATAAAACAAATATTCAACACGACTAATGTTGACCATAAGTCATGTCCATCTCTCCTAATTTTTATTTTACTAAATTTTTTCTTTTCTAATATAAATCTAACTTGAAATTTAAACAATTGCTTTTCAACAATAAATTCTCAATGTATCTTGCTTGCTTCTACTCTCTTTCAAATTAGTAATTAAATTCATTTACAGAGAAATGTTTGCTAATGTAATGTTTAAAAGTAAAACTTTATTTACTTAAAAAATAAAAAATCTAAATTCCCCTCCAAATAAATAGTAAATAATTATTGTTTGAAGAAGTAAGACTTGTTATAACTTTTCTTGAAAAAAAAAAAAAAATGATTAAATTAAATGTTTAAATATATCTTAATTTAACTTTATTTACATTTTATTAATACTAATTTGAAAAAAGGTTAATTAACTTTTACCTAAGTTTGATTTGTTTGAAAACAACAATAACAGAGTATTTATGTTAGCATTTAAATCGAAAAATAAAGTATCTTTTTGAATAAAAATATGGAGAAGCTCAGGACCTACCTAAAATCACCCAGCTACTGAGCATGGTATTGGTAGTATGGTATTTTCCTAAATTTAGTTATTTTGTAACAAACCAAAAAAACAATGAAGTTTATTTTTTAAAGATTGAATAAAAAAATTATTTTCCATAAGATAGCTGAAAAAAAAACAAAAAAAAACAAAAAAAACACCCAATAAATTGTCAATAATAAAGTATTATTCAGAAATCTTCCAAGCAATACCAGGTATCCCTGCTAGTTGATAATAAAACACAAATTAAGCAGATATTGTGTTGATAACAATTGTTTACAAAATGTATTTCATATGGTCAGCAATATTTGTTTCTATCTTCATTCTTAATAAAAGACAATATTTTTTTATTTTCATAGTATTAATATATAAAAATATAATCATGTCATATCAAACAGAAAAGTGATAGATTAACACCATAAAATGTGTTACTGGGTATGTCTAGTTGGTACCTTTCCCCCAAAAACTCAAAAATAAGTCTTGAAACTGAAATAAGAAAAATTAAATATTTTAGTGAAATATATGTACGACATTGAGATTATTATAGATTTATGGAACAACTTTTTAAAAGATTTTACATAAAGATGGCTGTACAACAAGGTCGTAATATACTCAAGGATGTAATTTATTCAAGGTTTTTAGCTTCAGAAACACAGGGTTGTATTATAATAAAGTCATATTATACACAAGAAAATCCAGTATTCATTTTAAAATTTTAGCATTTTTATTTATTTCTTAAACAATTTAATGATCTGTCTATATTTCCGAGATGAGGTATTATGTACACTATTTACATTATTCGGACTATTGTCCTCATCTTTGTTGCCATATTTATTACATTTCAGCCGTTGTACACTCTGGCCTTCTTCAGGTGGTTGGAATGTCCTCAAGGACACATGGCACAGTGGATAAAGGTGTTAGTTAGATCCAGTGACAGGACCCAAAGAGTTGTGATTTCAATACCCAGTTAAGGCAGTGGAGAACTTGGAGAGAGGAATTAACAGGCGATATCTGATAACTGACATCCATTAAACATGGCACATGGAACTAGAACAGTCTACCCTAGTGAGTGAAATAAAGGGTTCAGTTTGACATTCCAACCACCTGAAAAAGGCTGGAGTGTACAACAGCCAAAACGCTGTAATAAATATGGCGACAAAGATGAGGACAATAGTCCAAATAATGTAAATAGTGTACAATTTAATGATGTTTTTATGCTACTAACAACTTTTAATGATAAAAAAAATTTGATTTCAAGATTATATAAATATTTTTTTAATCATTTCACCCCAAGCAAGATGATAATGCCACTAAGATGCAAGCAGTGGCTAAGAGCAAAAAAGACAAATGAAAAAACATTAGTGAGAAGAAAGGACTTTTTATTAAAGTTGTACTTTGGTGCATTTCTAGAACGATAGAAAATACAAAACTAATAAATGATTTGTAAGATTAGCTTACTCATCACTGCTTTACAATAAATGTTCTTATCAGAATGCCTGGCACAAGGTTTTAGTTGAGCACCCACTGATGACAAAATCATAACACAAGAAATAATATTTATTAGTACATTTTAGAGATCAATTTTTTTTTTTTTAAGGGAGAAATTTGAAGATATCACGTATATGTAGATGAGGAGATTAAAGAAGGAGAAATGTTTCCAAAAAGATAATTTCTCATAAGGAGCATTGGTGGAAGAATATTTAATTGTGATTTTTGTAGTTTATTACTTACCTCAAAATACAACTCCAGATCTAATGTGGTTTTTACAGCACCCGGAGTTGTAAGAAGACAGGAAGAAAGCACAGTGGCATTTTGAACGGGACAACCCATGCTCGGGAAAGGTGCATCATTTTGTAAGGGACACGCACTTAAATCCTTCAAAAGAAGAAAAGAACATAATTTTTACGTTTTTTTTAAGGTTGAATGAAAAGGTATCAGTTTTTAATCCAAACACAACTATTTTGAACCAATCCTTTTCTTTCAGGAGATAAAAGATCGAGGCTCTCTACAGCTTCATTTTCTCACTATATTTCTTCCTTTTCTTTAAAATGTTCAAACCGTGCATTACCATGACTATTACTGGGAAAATTTCTTGCCTTCACCATGGTTTACATTGAGTTATCTTTTTCTAAGACTGGTTGCCAGCCAAGGCTAGAGAACCCAGTTATTTAAACCAGTGATTCCCAATGTGTGTAGTAACACCTGTTGGGAGTCCTATAGACTCTCAAGTGGGCAGTGTTTGGAAGAGTCAGGGCCGGCAATAGGGTCTTGCACCACCAAAAAAAAAAAAAAAAAAAAAAAAAAAAAAAATTTGATATGCACCCCCTGCTCTTTACTATGTGTCAGTTTCAAAGTTTCCCAACATGGGAGCTACAAACACTTGGGGGAAAATTGAGTGGCAGGGGTCAGTGCTTTATTTTTCATACAAAAAAAATCACGGAATTATCCAATTTAAATGAAAATTTCAGTACATATTCATTAATTATTTACTTTTATAATGAATAGTTTTTTTTTTAATTAAAAAAATCTGAGAAAATGTTATTCTTTTTGTAATAACCACTAATATTTTCATGACTAAATTTTGACTCGAAAAGAAATGTTTAAGTCACAAATTTTTACATTTCCATAAAGATTAATTGCTGACACATCAGCACTGAAAAAAAAAAAAAAAAAGTTTTACAAAAGATTCCAACACAACATAAACGGGATTGTCTGAAAAATTTGTTTTAAAAAGTATTTCAGTTTTCGGGAAAATTTTTCATGTATTGAAATCTTTAGATATTTTTATTTTTTAAGCGATCATTTTCTCGGTTTTATCTTTTTAGAAATGTAAAAAATAGGTACTAGAATTTTTATTTTAATTACTAGCTGTGAACTTCTGGTTAGCATTACTATTATTAAAAAAAAAAAAAAAAAAAAAAAAAAAAGTAAAAGTAAAATTAGAGATCCTCTTTAGTGGATGATCTTGAAATAAAAAATGATTTTACTGAGACATATTACTTTTTTTAATTGATTTAAAAGAACTGCTCAGAAAGAAAATTACAATTTAAAAAATAAGTGCTACTGAAGTTAGCACTTCTGGCCCACCACTCTCCTCCCCAATAGGCATGGGTCTTTCATGTAGATGAAAGGTTCAGAGTAGTAAGCACCAGCCCTGTTGATTATTATAGTTGATGATTGATATTATATACTTAGGTAGAAAAAAAAAATAAAAAGTACAAAAAGCAAAAAAACGTTTCTGAAACTAGCCCTTTTGGAGTTCCAACCTCATTGGGGATTCCTGCATAGTATGCACAACACCGGCCATGCAGATAAAGGATGTATATTATTAGTTGATGACTGACAATGTAAAGTCAGTTTAAAAATTAAAAAAAAAAAAAAAAGGGTGGATGGTCATAAAACAGTGCTGAAAAAAAATGAGGGCCTCAAAAAATATATTCCATGAAAAGCACAAAAGAAAAAAAAATGGGGAATTTTCAGGAATTTTCTCTTTAACATTGAGAAATAGTTTCTTTTTGTTTTAATGTTTAAAAAAAAAAAAAACAGCTTACAAAATTCATTTAACACTTCAAAGTCAAAATATTCTGAATAAAAAATTATAAAATGACTATACAATTACAAAATTCTTGTTGTTAAACATTGATTCTGCTAAAACTTAGAAAGGCATGAACTTTAAATCCCCCTAAATTTTGTTTTATACCCTGTCATATGACATAGCCAAATTAATAATCAAATCTGTGAGGATGGAAAAGTTCAAGTGTCCTTCATTTTAAACCAGTTCAACATACAATCATTAATCCTCAAAGGGGATTGACTCTATGGATTTTATAAGTATTATATTATTCAATTTTGAAATCAAGATGAACTCACCAATTTTTCTTCAGGTTTGAAAGACATGACTAGATATGGTGGTGACAGTGCAGGTACTGTCAAGGCAGTATCCTCTAAATGGGAAACACGGAGACCAGAGTCTGTACAAGAGAAACCATTCCCCAATTCTGGTTGCACAAGAATTTTGACTTTGGACATAATATCAAGTGGCTTGTCTGCCAAATCCATTATGTAATTGGAATGTGGTGCCTGTTGCATCAGTTCCACACCCAGGGGAATGTCTGTGATAGAATTATTCAGAAGAAGATTTGGAAGTTGGGATTTCTCAGATTCTATATTTGGCACAGGGTTTAGTGATTTGGCATCAGGTTCTGAGTTTGGATTCTCAGAAGGTAATTTGGGATCCAGTTCTGTAGCATCCATCATTTCAGGATTTTCTTTCACAATTGTACAATCAGAGATGAGCACGTTCCTCAAGCTAGTCCATAAACCTTCAATCCACGGTTCAACTGTCAGTTCAAGTCTGAAGAAAATTTTTAAAAAATAAAAAACAATAACAAGAATGAAATTAATTACAAAAGATCATTTCAGGAATTTTGGTAATTCAAATTTTCTGTAAACAGGAATTAAAAATAAAAGTCAAAATTTCCCAAATGCTATTTTTTGCACATTGTTACAAAATTCCTTGCAGTGTCTTCGAAGTTTAATTCAACATTTCATTGAAAAAAAAAAAAAAAAATACAGAAACCAAGACTATGACTTCCATAAGAAATTACAGTAAGGAAAATCAGCTTATGAAAATGTATCTTTTTGCTTAACGCAAAAAAAAAATGACTCTTTTTGACAGTCATCTTACTTATTATAAAACGCAGATTGTGTGTGTGTGTGTGTGTGTGTGTGTGTGTAACGTTTATATGTTGGATCGAATTTCCTACATTTTTAGCCGATTTCAACAAAACTTCACAGGACTACATAAAATTACCTTGTGGTGGTTCTAACGGGGCCGAAAATGGGAAAAACACAGTTGTTTTTTAATAAAATCAATTTGAAAACACGATTAAGACACATCATGAGAATGAAAGGGGGACAACTCACCCACGAAAATGTAAACAAAAGAGCATAGCATGATGAAAAAGACGCCAAACTTGACGAAAACAAAATTTTATCGTCTAATGTTCATATTATTATTAAAGAGGAAAGATCAAAGTATTTGGGGGGTATTTTTTTACATTTTTTAATCGTTCCTAGCACGTCTGAAATTTTTCGTTAAAAATATTGTTTTTTTTTGGTCAAAAAAAAAGGACAGGTAATCATTTTCAATCATTTTTTTCGATTTGATAAAAAGATTTAAAATCTTACTTTGATATTCTTTTAAAATCAATTATCATTTTTTTCAAAACTGATTTTAATAAAAACAGAAATTATACTGTTTATTTAAAATATTTTGAACCAAACTTAACTTAGCTTCTGCGCCGAAAAAATGTAATTTGAAAATAAAACAAAGCAGGTCATAACTTTTCGCGTCGCTTGACGATTGACGAAAAGGCACATTCATGACGTTTAGATAACTTACGGAGGAGAATTCTTTCACGGATGGAAGGAAGTGAAATTATTTAAGTGAACAAATTATTTACCTTGTTACTTTTAAGGAAAACTTTCAGCGCTCTAATTTTTTTTGTACTTAGCTTTCATTTTTACGTTTATGATGCTTTATGGAAAATATAAAAAATTAAAAATAAGACTGTTAATAGTGAGATTAAATTTCATAAGAAAAAGGTATCTAATTAATTTAGGTACCTTTCTTATGAAATTTTATCAGAACTGTACATAAAATACTATAATTTTATGTACATTTATTACATTTTACTGTGTTATTTGTATTTGCATTCATTTTATTATTAATTTTGATATTTCATTTATGGAAAAATGTCATAACTGAGATTAATATAAAAATAAGATCATATAAATTAAAGTTTAGCAGTAGTTAAATTTCATAAGATGATACTGTTACTTGTAGGTACCCTTCTCAGTTGAAATTGAAAACTCAAATTAACTTCTCCATACGTGTTTCGCAAAAGTAAAGGGCTTAACAGCAGAGAACAATGCTGAACTCAAATAATGCAACTAAATTGTATTCTGGTTGGTCTTCTGTACTTGATAATTACTGTCTGACTATAAACACAAAAATTACATTTCTTAATTACCATGGCTAACCTGATTGGTCCAAATTATACAATTTTGAAAGCGCTAGACAATGACAATCTCACACGGACATTTTGAAAGGTTGATGTTGCTTTTAACTAATGTTAAAATATTTTTTAAAATTCAATTTAAACATTTTTAAAAATCTTTTAAAATTAAAGAAATAAGAAATAATTGTATTAAAAATTCAATTTTCATTGAAAAAATTTTTTGCTTTCAGAAAATATTGTCCATATTCATAAAAAACAAATTAAAACAAATAAAAGCATTTGAAACTAAATAATATATTTGTTTTATTGAGTTTTGTATGTTACAATTCACAGCTGATTTTCAGGTACGTTGGCAAAAAAAAAAAAAAAACATGATTTGCATTCTTCAAAGCCTTGTGCTTTTAACTATTGTAATCACTAAAACTGATGGTCTCGAATTTCTAGAGGTTTTCATAAAATTAGTTGTGGGGGTGTTAATAAATAAAAAAAAAATATTTCTGCCATGACTTTAATAAAAAAAAAAAAAAAAACATGTTTATAATAATTTCGATCATCTGTGAATAGTTTCTGAAAGTTTCATTAACATCTGACAATTATTTTATTTTTGCAAGATTTTCCAAATTAATGTGTAAATACAAAAAAAACGCGCTAAAAATTATCTATGTTATTTACTACCCCTTGTTGCGACATAAAGAGAGGTTTTTTAAATCAAAATTTAGAATATTCTAAAAAGATGGAAAAATTTTTAAAATAATTAAAAAAAAATTTAGTCTATCCTCTTCATAAAAAACATAAGCATTTTGACGATAAAATTTTGTTTTCATAAACTTTGGCGTCTTTTCCATCAGACTATGCTCTATGTTTTAGCGATTCTGTGGAGTGACTTAGGTTAAAAAACCCAAGTTGTTTATGTGTGTGTGTGTGTGTGTGTGTGTGTGTGTGTGTGTTCCTTTATATATGGGATTGGATTTCTTACATTTTTCAGCCGATAAAACAAACATCCACTTTTTTTTTTTCGGCAGGTAGTATTTCTTATTGTCTTGCACACCTTTTTCTTTATTTACTTTCAGAATGCTTTAAAAATACCATTTACAAGACAATTGTTTATAATAAAATTCTATTCACCAATCGATAGACTCATAACAATTGTAAACAATGTTTTTGTTTGAATTTGGGTTTGACCAATTCGTAAAAAAAAAAAAAAAAAACTAATTAAGACATGCGTGTCCGTCAACCTTAAACAATAATCTTTGTCAATTTTATTTTTCAGTCTTTATAATGGTCGATACTTGATCTATCTCTTACTGTTACATCCCCGGGCAAAGCCGGGCTCTACTGCTAGTATGTAATAAAACAAGAATTTGTTTTATAAGAATTCATAACAAAAAATGAAAGAGAGTGTCTGCACAAGCTCTCTAGCTATGGAATCCCTGAAATCATATTCTCAATTATCAAGTCCTTCATAAGAGGTAGGATCCTGAAGGTAGTTGTTAACAGCCAGTTCTCTGAGTCCCATGTGATCAACACAGGCATTCTCCCAAAGCTTGCTTCTTGATCCAACCCCCTTTCTACTTTACATAAATGATATGCCTAACAGTAACTCTCCTCGTTTGTGAAGATGTTGATGATATAACAGTATATGGTTGCACCTCCAAGAGCAACTCTGCTCATTCGTGAAGATTTATATTGATGACATAACAGTATATGGTTGGGGCACCTCAAGGTGGTGTAATGGTTAGCAAGCTTGTTTCTACGAATGAGTAGTGAGTTCGATCCTCACTGGGTGCCCCTTACTTTTGGCCTTGTGCCACATCCAAGCTATGCTTGGAAAATCACTATAACAGTATATGGTTGCACCTCCCAAAAGCAACTCTGCTCACTCATGAAGATCTATGTTGATATAACAGTATACGGTTGCACCTCCAAAACTCTAAATGACCAGAGTCTGACAGCAGATCTCTCCTCTAACCTAGCTCAATGGAGGGAAAAACTGGCTGGTCACATGCAATGATATCACAAAAAATAATGGAAAAATGGTCAGTTCCCTGTACTGCTCCAGTAAGAACCAGACTCCTCTTGCTATCCTCTCCTCTACAGGAGCCAGAGCAGGCCGAAAATGGTGTGCTGTTGCCATATATACACAGGAGCTGACCAGTCTTCACTTTCCAGTCTTGATAAAATTCAAAAACTTCTCTGCATCCTTGTGGGTGATGAATTATTTTACACCCTGTAATCCCTTTCCCATAGATGTAACAATGCAAGCCATTTTCTGCTCTATCGCTATTAGCGTAGAAAGTGCTCAGATGAACTACATTCCTTAGTTCCACCAGTTCTAACCTTCATAGCTAAGACCCACCATGACACTCACATTCTTATGAACCACCCTCATTCCATTTGCATTCTACTGATGAGATGTAAGTTCCACTCAAGCAGCGACTTCTCATAAACCGCTACTTTGTGGAACTGTCTCCCTAGCAGATGCTTCCCCAATCACTACAATCTTAACCTGTTCAAGTCTAGGGTTAACCGTTATCTTTCCCACATATCCCCATAAACTGTGGTTTTTATTCAGAAAACCTCTACCTCACGTGGCTCTTGGGCCTTGTACAAAGTGAACATTATTGTAATAAAAACAAAAGAAACTCTCAACATCTTAACCTAAACAGAATCTGTTGGGTTGGAACAAAAGCTTATAATGTTTGAATTTCAGTGAATTTCAAAGACAATATTTAGGTATTTGTACATGTGTTTTTTTTTTCCACAACCTTTTGCCATTTTTGAGGCAGCTTCATGATTTCCATTCTCCCAGAATTTGGCAACTTTCTGGGTGATGGATTAGTATAAGTAGTTTTTATAAGCTTACAAAGAATTTCAGTTCTTTCTATTAACAGAATTTTAGAGTGATCGAAATAAATGGTAATCTAAAGGTGCAAGATCAGGTGAATACAGCAGGTGTAGTAGGACATTGCAGCCAAGCTGTACCAATTACTAACAAGTCTAGCAAAGATAAATGATCTCAGTACCATAGAAGAATTATCATGAAAATATTAAAAAAAAAAAAAAATATGATGAGAGCTTGCTGCCAACCTAGTCAATCAGTTAAGTGCCATATCCGATAGATGTTTGGGAGAGCATGTCTCTTGATTCACAACTGACTAGGCAGAAGATTTTCCTGCAGAAGGTTGCAGTTTTTTTCTGCCGTAGACTGGTTGCCAACCAAGACTATAGGAGCCAGACTTTCCTGTTATTCATCCTATATCTATGGGGAGAAGTAGATAAATGTGCTGGTGCTCCTACAACTCTAATGGGGATTCTTGTTTGTGAATAGAAAGTGTAGATTAAATAAGTCTATTGCTCTCCCAGTGGTCACTTGTACAAATCACAATATCGCTCTTTTCAATTCACCGTCCTCGCTTTCTTCACACGTCACTACGTATAGCCAATGTTTCTGTCCCCTTTTTCACGGCTCCAGCACTCTTTTATCAGGCCAACCCCGCGGTTCCCTTAGCCAATCAGCGTTCTTCGCTGTTATTCTCGGTTACACAGGCAAATTGCCTCCTCCAGTTCGACCAATCAGCACACGACTTGCTATTGGTGGAAGCATTCCAAACTGTACAAAAAACCCTCATCATTGCACATACTGCTAGATTGGCTGGACGGGAGAGTAATGCCATTTTCACGAAGCAAACCCGCTGATGTCACATGCCGCACATTAAGGTAAGACCCTTATTTTCCTATACACCAGATGCAAGCCACTCTGGCTCACTTGCTTCTACAGGGCTGTTCACCACAGAAAGACAGGGAAAATTCAGGCAGAACAGAATAATGATACTATGAATTTATAAGTATAAAAGCCAACATATGCATTCCTTTTCCTTTCAGCCATTTTGTTTCATCTGTGAAATACAGCGTTATTATATGACAGATATAATAATGCCCATAATTGGGGAAATGCAAATGAAAAAATAAACATGCCTTTCATTTAGTTTTATCTTCTTGTATACCATAATACAAATGGCCAAGAAACAATCAACTGACAGCCATAAAAACAGAAATGGATGCTACTTTTAACTCATCCCATATAATCAGAAACTCACCCAATGGCATCATCAGCCCAATCACAAGGGTAAAATGTCTGGGCACCAAGTTCTGTAAATTGCTGGTAGAATAATTTGCCTCCGTTGCAGAAGTTGGTATAATTTGTATCTCCTAAGCCTGCAGGGAGAGAAAAAAAAATTGAAAAACCAAAACTGTAGATTAACATGACTATATAATCAGATTGTAGCATCTTGATTGATAGAGAAAGGCAAATAATATTTAAAGAATTCATATTAAGCCTCCAGTCATACTGTGGAAACATTGTCATAGCATTAGTACTGCAGAGTTTTCATACATTTCATTTTAAAATGTTATACATAATACCATTTAGTTCTTAATGTTCTTGTGTATTGTCTTAAGTGTGCTTTCTGGCTTATATAGGACAAATAAAAATTTAGAAAAAAAATGTTTTACCTTGAAAAAGGGAATTAAAAGGCTGATATTAAAAAATGAATTTTGAAAGTTTCAAAAATTTAAACATGCAAAAATAAGTTTCATTTAATTTCCAGTATGATAACAATTTATAATCAATCTGACTCTCCTTCAACTGTTTTATTTTTTTTTCACATTAGTTACAAGGATCTTTGCAGATTTTTCCAACAACTATTAACAGATAGTTTTTAGTTTATATTCACATGCTTGTAACTCATTCAAATATTATGATTAAACCAGAAAACTCCTTGCAGTTACTTGACAGAGATATTCAGAAAACTATTTAATTAAATCATGAAAATTTGACTTGCCACATGCTAAATATTAAGGAAAAACATTTTTGTGGAGCGTTCAAATACTCCACGCAACAAACAGACAGTTAAATGTGATAGTTTGTTTGCTTTCATATATTTAACCATTGTTATCAGCCAATGTTAGGAATAGGGTTGATTTGCCACAGTGAGCATGACATGGCTGCTCCTAGATGGGAAGTTTTTAGATGATGGAATGTCATTGATTATATAAATATATTCTAAAAAGTTTATCAACTTTGCTTGGTTATTTTGAAAACAAAGATGTTTATGAGATGCGTTAGTTTGTTTTAAGGTCTTTAGCCAATGATCTCAACGTTTTACATCTTTCCCATTTGTTTACATTCACAACACCAGTTTCTTTTAATAGTTTCTGTTGTGTCGGAAACCTACCACCCCTCTTGAAGATGAACTTGTCTGCGTCTGTGAACAAAGACTTTAATTAGTGGCATGTCAGTTGACATGGAGAAGATAGATAGACAGAGAAGTTCTTAGCTGAGCTAGTTATTGACTACTCAGGCGATTTCTGTACCTTCTTATCAACCTATTAAAACCCTTTTTATTGTTACGTGTTATTTGGCGTTTGTCTCTACTAACCCCAAATCAATATCATAACAGTTTCCTACTGATTAGTCTTAGTTTTCATTTTTCTCAAATCTCTTTCTCTGACATTCTTAAAGATGGTTTTTCTTCTTTCTTTGTGCTGTGTTCATAAATGAAGACCTAATCAAAACATGTGTGTTTAGATTCATATCAAAATGGCGAGTGCCATCTTTAGTCAGATGCTATTCAAAGGGGAATCACTCCGTCCAGATTAGATAGATAACATAACATTTTGTTTTTTTATTTTGTCAATGCTTACAATTAATTTTTGATTGTTTTGCACTCTCCGTTCAACTGCTTTTTTATAATTTCCAAAGTATTTTTCCAATCTCTTACTACTTAATAACTTTAGCTTATAACTTGCATCTCTTTTGACACGATCAGTGGAGCAAGCGCGTGTTCAGCATTTGATAATTTCATGGCAAACACGCTTAAAGATTTTAGGCAGTTTTGATCAACATTTATTTTCATGGTTAGCTTTAAGGAATTGTAAATGTAGGACTACCTTACATTTAAGTAAAATAATAACAATAATAATATTTATTAAGAATTTATTACAGGAAATATCAACTTTTATGGAAACATTGTTGGCACTTAATAAATAAAAATAATATAAATTTCGATGCTATATTCGATTTGTTGTTTGGTATTTTTCCTTTTCTCTTTGGTTATTGGCAGCATTTTAGAATACTTTGGCGGCAATGGTAAGTTTCCTAAGTTGAACAAACAGGAGCTATTTCATTTACATTTTATTACCTCTCTTTTCCATTATTGTTTTTTGATCGTTTTCTTCCAGTCATTTTGATGGGCAATAGTGAAATTCTGAAATTTAGAATGATCTTATTCCATATCAAAAATAAGGCCTGTAAAAAGGAATATTTTAAATTAATATATGACCAAAAATAAAATGATTTTGACAAAAATATCTTAATGATTTCACTACAATGCAATGATATACCACAAATAAATCTACAGTTTATGTTACCTCATCTCATTGCATGGCTACAAACTATAAACTTAAATTGATCTTGAAATATTGTGTAATCAACTCTGTTTTTGTAAAATCAGTTCAGTTATGCGCCATGCATGATACACGTGTAGACGATCATGTATCTTTCGATACATGACTGACATGACAGATTTTTTTCCTGTAGTAGGTTGCCATTTCTTTCTGCTGTAGCCCAGTTACCATCCAAGGCTATAGAACCCAGTCTGTCCTACCATTTACCTAGAGAGAGGGGGAAAAGAAGAGGATTCATACCTTTCCCACGGGTATTAGCACGTAAGTGAATGTAATGGAATTCGAACTCAGCTCTCTAATTCCTCAATCCAAGCTGCTATCCATTACTCCACCGTGTGTAGCAAAACAAAAAAAAAACAACAACAAAAAAACATGAGACATAAAGTTTCTGTTTGCTTTGTCATTGTGAATGCAACTCACACAGTACACCAGGTCCTTCAACATAATCTCACTGCCAAATGCAGAGTAAGATCCCTTCTGATTGGTTGCCAAGTTAAATCAAAAGATGCATGAATGGATATATTCTGGACAGACATGTTACAGATATTGCATTCACTTTTACACTTATCTCTTGGGAAATGAATGGATCATTCTCTTCTCCTTTCAGTTATGCATTAATTAGCAGATTAGACTGGATTCTTTTGTCTCAGTGAAGGAAAACTCTGAATTCCAATCCATGAAGAAGACAATGGAAAACCACTATCTTTCCCAAGAATGCATAGCACTTCCCAAATAAGAAAATAAAGCAATCTGTAGAGAGGCCTGATCACCTATGGAATGATGGCAAATAGCATTAAACATAAAAAAAAGTTCAATGACAAAAATGTTTCTTTTGATTGATTTTTTTTTCTACAGTTTATCTACCCTTTGGAGGTTATTTAAAGCCAGAAAGTATTTTTAGAGTGTATGAATTTTTTTTTAAGATAATAGTTTAGTGATACAAGTTTTACTAATTAACCCATAACTGGAGGGAGAAAAGGTGGACACATACCTTTCCAAACAGTATTTGCACATAAGTGAATATAATGAACCCAACAGGAATTGAGACTCGGCTCTCTAATTAACAATTATCCATTACACCAGCTGTATATCCAATCTTACAGCACCTTATTCCCAAGCAGTCACCCATTAAGGTATTGACTAGGTTCGACATTGCTTAACTTTGGTGATCATACCGAAAACAGTGATGTGGCTGTAAGCCCAAAATGTGATAATAACAACAAAGATGAGGATAGTAATCTAAAAGCAAATAATAACACCGCATCCCAGAAATTCAGGCAGAAAAATAAAGCTCGGAATGAGAAGTGAATGGAAATATTTTTAAAAAGCAAAACAAAAAAAATAAAATGGAAATGTCAATATTTGGAACGCAACGTAGCAGTTTTAGGAGAATTTTAAGAAATAATATAAATTGCTCACCTAAAATTGAAAACCTTAAATGCTTCAAATAGGGATCTGTCCTTGGAATTTTCCTCAGTTTTTTCCAGAACTTTAGGGCTGTGGTTGGAACTTCTCCATCCCCAGTCGTCGAAACAACCAGTACAACACAACTTGCATTCTCGATGTTAAACTGAAGAATTTGAAATTACTTTACATCAACAAATATACAATCCCTTTGTTAATTCTTTGCTATATTCTTCTGATAAAATCATAAATCTATCAGAGTATAATCAGGATCCTTGTCATCTGTAAATTATGTTTTAGTTGGGAAACCCAGTGAAGAATAAATTTTATATTCAGTAATAATGGTCTAGCATTGGTAAACATTAGCCCACACCCAGCTGTTGCGAAATTATTTTACAATGAACATACATTGCTAAGTAATTTTAATTGAGAAAACTTAATTAAAATGTTGTGATAAATTTGATTGTGAAGCTCTCTGTAGCCAAGTGATCAAAGCATGCCAGATAAGATGGTGTTTTTTTTCTGCAAAGGGGGATAGTTTTATATCTTGCCAGAGAGTACATTTTCTTTATTGTTTTCTTGAATGTTCAGACCTGTAGACCAAATGAACATCGTTTAAAAAAAAAAAAAAATAAAAAAAATAAAAAAATGGAGCCTCAACTCAAATACGAGTATCAACGGAAATAACATTTAAAGTAATGAAATAAAAAAATTTTATATATAGAGAAAGAAATTCGGATTACCAACACACAAACAGAGAATGTCTCATATCAAGAATATTTCACATTGAACATGAAGAAAAATTAATTATTTTTAATAATATGTAGAAATCTCCACTTTTACCTGAAGACGGTCACGAGACCAGAAACACGTGTCGTAAAATTATGTAAAAACAAAGCATAATATTTTTTCTAAATAACCATTACAACCAAAAACGTTTATGCACCTCTCTTCTTTTTAATATACATACTTTTCTCTCGTTGGAACCCACTACAACATATTATATTTTATATATATATATATATATCAAACAGTTAAACCCAACCTAAACAAAATCAATTATGGCATCTCTACAAATATTCTTAAATGTCTATAATTGGTAACAGAAGCCATTGGGTTTTATACCAACAGCTTTCCTTACTTCATTCTACAATTCACTCTCGTGTAGTCATGTGTGACGTCATGAGATGCGGTCGCGATTTTCACTTCTAGCGTCTTATATGCGTGTTTATCGTTGCTTAGTGATCAACTATGTAAACAATGACAGACTATCATCACTGTCGTGTCCGTATATTGTTTAATATGTTTGTAATTTACATCTTTGATAATGGCTTAAGTAAACGAAAAGCTTAGATTATATTAAAAAAATATGGATCAATATTGTGAATTTCTTTCTTCGTTTAATGATAATGTTATCAAACTTATCAGATGTTATGAACAAATTTTACATAAAATAAATAGACAACACTTGTCTATATTATTTAATGAAATGTGTATAAATGAAAATATGCTGCCTAAATACACACAATTTAAATAATATATATATATAAATATATATATATATATATATATATATATATATATATATATATATATATATAATCTGATATGGACGGAAGATTGTATTTGAAACTTAAAATGGAAATAATGAGACAGTTATAAGCAACACACACACACACACTTATATCTCTCTCTCTCTCTCTCATATATATATATATATATATAAGATGGTATTTAAGTTGGAAACAGACTGTGGTCGCTTGGAGTTGACCTCAATATCCACTTCTATATTTACATACAGTCTATCTCTAATATTGTGTATATTTACCCATAAATATAGTCTACCTTAAAAGTATATTTTTTTCTTATATTTTATATATATATATATATATATATATATATATATATATATATATATATATATATATATATATATATATATTACACAAAAACATGTCAAAATCGCTACACAATTCCAGTTATGTTTTGATGCATATCACTGTATCTCATCAGGCGATTGTAAATTACTGGCGAGTGAATGATTTATTTAGATTTAAATCTAAATAAATCATTCACTCGCCAGTGTATTGGTATGCATTGAAACATGAATGCAATTGTGTTGCGATTTTGACAGGTTCTTGGTGTAATGTACTAAAATAAATAATATTGCTCTACTTGGTATTGAGCCTTCTTTTAAATTAATTAAATGTTATGAACGTTGGAATTGTACTCTATTTGGTCTCATCTTACCTGGAGATTATATATACATATATATTACAAAACAAATTAAAAAAATGAAAAACAAAGAGAGACAAATGCTTATACTATAATTAAAATATTTAATTAAATGTTCACTTATATTGTTTCTATACAGATTACATCAACTCTTCAGGAAATTTGGATATAAAATTTAATTTATTTTCAAAAATAATATTTATCTTAAAGAGATATAACTTAATTTTCATTAAAAGACATTAATTTATGACATTAAAAGGCTTTAATTTATTTTCTGAAACTTCAGACATACTTTGTTTACACACTAAATGTTGCATTTTTAGGGATGAAAAGCTAATAATATATACCAGTCCTTACAACTGTTTGACTTTACGACCACAGCCATGAATTGGTATGTCTGGCGCATCTGGCAGTGTAAATGTTTCCCAAATTGGTCTATGACAATTTCCGGCCCAGGTCCTGTCAGCACTAGCATTCTCTTGCACACCTCTAGTGTTATGGTAGCCTCAGTACAACACACTCTGCCTTGCCCACCAAGTGCAATTGTGTCTTTGAAGTTTTTCTTTGAAAAACTCCACAAGATGTCTACTAAGAGAAAATGGTCTTTGTCTACTCTTTAACGGAAAGATATGCTTTTGATCTTGATACAAAAATGATGCTAGTTAAAAAGTATGAAGGTGGAAAGAAAGTAAATATGATCACACGTGATCTGACGTTATCACAATTCTACTGTGCCAACAATTTTAAGGACAGAGAAAGAATTTGTAAAGCTGTAAAAGGTTCTGCATCTACGTAATTGGCAGTTATAATGAAGTAACAAAATGAGCCCATACACAAAATGGAGAAATTGCTGATCAGATTAAAAAAAAAATGGTTCTGTTGAGACTTTTTACACTGTAGAAAAAGGCCAGAAGTCTATTTCAGATTTTGAAGGAGCACGATGGATAAAACAAAAGTCAAAAATTCATAGCAAGTACTGTCTGGTTCAAAATATTCAAGGAAAGATTTCAAATTCATAATGTTCAAGTAACTGGAGAAGTAAGTTAAAAAGCAAATGAAAAAGATGAAAACAAATACTAATTAAGAGAAGCAAATTCTTATAATTATACATAAAATTTAATGTTCACTTATATCGCTACTAAAAGTTTCATGGAATTACATCCACTTAAGAGACCCGATTGATAACCGAATTTATTTTCAAAAATTATATTTTTCTTAAAAGAAATTAATTTTCCTTAAAGAATGTCAATTTTTGATTTTTCAAGAATTCCAACCCTGACTTTCTTACACATTAAATATTGCCATTTTTAAGTATGAAATGCAAATAATAACAGAGCACAGTATTAAATTAAAAATGTGAAGACAATCTAAAAATGGAAGTAAAATTATGGAAAACTGTTAACAAAAGCTCCAAGAGTAATCAACAAAGACTTGAAAAGATATTCTAATATTGTTGCAAACAAAGCTCAATCCTTAAAGAAAGTCTTTTGTAATAAATAAATAAGGATAGAACAATCATTGAACAGAATATAGATCTTTCTCCTAATCAATATGGACAGATTAAATAGATCAATGGCCCTATCCAGAAATTTGATTCTAATAGTTACAAAAATTCTAAAATAAAAAAAAAAAAAAAACAATGATATTTAGAAATTGAAATCCTTATCTTTGGCTACCCTGTCAGTTGGTCATAGAATATGCTGACTGTATCCCAGAGGTAGAAAATGTCCTAAAGAAGCAGGGCATGGAAACTTCCAGGTGGATGCTTGCAGATTCAAGCATAAAATTGACCAATACTGATGGGAGGAGAAAAAAAAAAGATTCTCTCAGACAATTAAAAACCCAAAATAAAAAATAATAAAAATCTCATATTCACTTGAAGGTTTACCTCTCCTTCTGGATATACACTTGAGCCCCAAATGTGACCATCACTTTGTGATTACTAGAAACACTACTGTCATTAAAGAATAATATATTACTTTGTACAACTTGGTGAGTGGTTGTTATTCATAAGATCATTCTCACAGATAATTATTACGGTGGTAAGTTCCATCCTTATTGATTCCCAACATTTATTGAGCAAAAATTATTGAATATTACTATGGTAGAGAGTTTGATCCTCACAAGGTGCCTTGTGTTAAATTTACTAAATATTGTTATCTAGTTTCATAATTAGAGGACGTGTGTGTGTGTGTATGTGTGTCCCACACCATGTTGAAATCAAAGTAACTAAAAAAAAGTTAAAAATACAACCTCACCTTCATTTATTCTACCATTAGAGAAATAAGGTTTGAAAGTTGCTATTATGCTCAAAAGGTCAAGTCTAATTTAGAATCAGAATTTTTTTTATTTTTTAGTTAAATTGTATTTTCAGATAACGTCTGACAGAACTAGGACTAAAAATTAAAGTTCAAAGCAATTTAGGAGAGAATTAGAGTTGGTCAAAATACAATTCCAATTTTAAATGAATTTTTTTTTTTAAATTACATTTTAAATTTACCCATTACTGCCTATCATAAAATTGTGGTATTCATGATAAGTTTCTAAAAAAATCTGATATATTAATTACAAGATTTTTTTTAAAATCCAGTATTAATAATCAGTTTATATAAAAATACTATATTAATTATAAACTTACAAGAAAATCTGATATTAATTACAGGCTTATAAAAATACACAGTATATATAATGGGTTTCCAAAAAGTTCAATATTAATTATAGTTTCTTTTTTTTTTTTTTAAATGCAGTATTAATTATCAGTTTATATAAAAATTCTGCACTAATTATAGACATACAAAAAAAATCTGATATTAATTATAAGGTTCAAAAAATTCCAATATTAATTATAAGTTTTTTTTTAATCCAGTAATTAATTATTGTTTTTTTTACATTTGTCAATATATATTTCCCCACCACCAATAGGCACAAAGAGTTAGCGAAAAAAAAAAAAAATTATTTTTAAATTCAAGTTTCTGATTATGAGCTAAAATCCATTTTGGTTCTGATTGAAAATTGAATAGAGAACTCTTCTTTCAGAAAGCCAAAGTAAGAAGTTACTTTCAATTTAAAAAAAAAATAATGCCATCTACAACTTTCACAAAGTTAAAACTTATACATATATTAGATAGATATGGAAAGGTTGAAAGAGATAGATATAGAAAGGTTGAAAGAGATAGATAGATAGATAGATAGATAGATAGATAGATGTGGAAAGGTTTAGATACATAGATAGATAGATGTGGAAAGGTTTAGATACATAGATAGATAGATGTGGAAAGGTTTAGATACATAGATAGATAGATAGATAGATAGATAGATAGATGTGGAAAGGTTTGGATAGATAGATAGATAGATGTGGAAAGGTTTGGATAGATAGATAGATGTGGAAAGGTTTTAGATAGATAGATAGATGATAGATAGATGTGGAAAGGTTTGGATAGATAGATAGATAGATAGATGATGGATAAGGTTTGGTTTAGATAGATAGATAGATAGATGTGGAAAGGTTTAGATAGATAGATGTGGAAAGGTTTGGATAGATAGATAGATAGATGTGGAAAGGTTTAGATAGATAGATGTGGAAAGGTTTGGATAGATAGATAGATAGATGTGGAAAGGTTTGGATAGATAGATAGATAGATAGATAGATGTGGAAAGGTTTGGATAGATAGATAGATAGATAGATGTGGAAAGGTTTGGATAGATAGATAGATAGATAGATGTGGAAAGGTTTGGATAGATAGATAGATAGATGTGGAAAGGTTTGGATAGATAGATAGATAGATGTGGAAAGGTTTGGATAGATAGATAGATGTGGAAAGGTTTGGATTGGATAGATAGATGTGGAAAGGTTTGGATAGATGTGGAAAGGTTTGGATAGATAGATAGATAGATGTGGAAAGGTTTGGATAGATAGATAGATAGATGTGGAAAGGTTTGGATAGATAGATAGATAGATGTGGAAAGGTTTGGATAGATAGATAGATAGATGTGGAAAGGTTTGGATAGATAGATAATAGATTTGGATAGGATAGATAGATAGATAGATGTGGAAAGGTTTGGATAGATAGATAGATAGATGTGGAAAGGTTTGGATAGATAGATAGATAGATGTGGAAAGGTTTGGATAGATAGATAGATAGATAGATAGATAGATACATACATAGATGTGGAAAGGTTTATATACATACATAGATGTGGAAAGGTTTATATACATACATAGATGTGGAAAGGTTTAGATACATACATAGAAGTGGGAAAGATACATTTGGAAAGGAGATACATACATAGAAGTGGAAAGGTTTAGATACATACATAGAAGTGGGAAAGGTTTAGATACATACATAGAAGTGGAAAGGTTTAGATACATACATAGAAGTGGAAAGGTTTAGATACATACATAGAAGTGGAAAGGTTTAGATACATACACAGAAGTGGAAAGGTTTAGATACATACATAGAAGTGGAAAGGTTTAGATACATACATAGAAGTGGAAAGGTTTAGATACATACATAGAAGTGGAAAGGTTTAGATACATACATAGATGTGGAAAGGTTTAGATACATACATAGATGTGGAAAGGTTTAGATACATAGATGTGGAAAGGTTTAGATACATAAATAGATGTGGAAAGGTTTAAATACATGGATATGGAAAGGTTTAAATACATGGATATGGAAAGGTTTAAATACATAGATATATACGGAAAGACAGAGTGATAGATATAAAAAGTATTAATAACATTTACCTGCCTGAATTAATACTGTTTATTATAAACAGAGCACTTACTTAATTTGGGCTTATATATGAATGGGACGGGTATTTTTTTTAGGGAGTAGTCGAGGCTAAACTTTTCTATGTCCATAATGTGTCATAAATGTAGCGAAAGTGCTCTACTATTTATCAGGAGCCATCACCTTAGCTCAAGAATAAATAAGAATAAACACGAAATCAATATCTTTAAACACTCTCGTAAATCACTACTATTCAACCATGAAGATGCATGGATAAAGAAAGAATATTTATGTAGGATACAGGTTCAACTCCTATTGGAAGATGCACATTTTCTATGACATGCCAGTAAATGTCATTAATACTGTTTATTATAAACAGAACATTTACTTAAATATTTGTATCTATAAAAACAATGTATAAGCAGAAAATATATTAAAATAATTGTTGAACTTAGTCCATTTCATAATAAAATACACACATATATATATATATATATATATATATATATATATATAATAAAAAGTAATAGCTGGCCACTCATGTTCGAGGATACACATCTACTAGTGCAGCTAGCCAATCCCTATTGCAGAGGCTCGCTCAGGCACATTTGTGCTTGTTCAACAACCACAGAGCCAACCTGTGGGTTTATACTGCAACTAAGCTGAGCAGACCTTAGTTACAGTTTCTGAGAGAGAGTATGTTATCTAGCATGATCAGCAATTTGAACAAGGCCAGCACGTTAACACCCTCACCCACAATGTCTTGTGGCTTCATGCTAGCCCAGCTATCAATGTCGCCCAAGTGTTCCGTCTACCCAATTTCACTCACAAGGCTTCAGTCAACTTGTGGTACAGTTTTCTGTCACTTTCCAAAGGTGCCGTATACTGGGATTGTCCTCCTCCTGACAAATCAACCATGGTAAGATTCGAACCTGGGTCTCATAATCGGAAAGCAAATGTCCTAACCACACACCATATATATATATATATATATATATATATATATATATATAAATATATATAAAATAAATAACAAATATAGGTAACTATACCGTTTTGAAAAACCCTCAAATTTTTGATTTGCCAATAATCAAATCAATCTCGAAGGAAAAAAGGTTTTAAAAAAAGAAAGAGCTACAAACATGAAAGTCTGTTGAAAAAAAAAAAAAAAAAAAAAAAAAAAAATCGCACAGATGCAGGTTTGAAGCCCAAAGAGAAAACCCCGAAACAAGTAAACAACTAACTAACAAAAGAGCTCAATACAACCGTAGAGCAGACCTAGATAAACCTAGTGAGCCAGACAAACCTACCCAGGTCTCACCTAAGTGGATCATCAAGGAAAGCTGGCTAAAGAGGCAAAAGAGAAATGCATATTTATAGGCGATAGTCAAAATTAAAACTACTCGTGTGGTTATAGTATCTTTTTTTAAAATTATCCTTAGTAGCACCTATGTATATTTTAGGGTTAGTATCCTCCATAACCTTATAAATTTTCACCTGGTAAACCATGCATTCTTGCTGACATTTTCCCTGTAAGGGGCAGATATTTTTGTTCCTACAATTACAACTAGGAGGGCTACTGCGTGGATTATCCCTAGTTTTTTTCTTATTCAATCCACAATTAAGGTCCCTACATTAGGCATGCAACAGTAACTAAGTTTTACATTATTTTTATTGAATATTTTATGTAACTCAGTTTTTTGGAGGAAATGTTGCTCTAATCAGTCAAAAAATATTTTGCCAATTTTTGTTTTTACCGCCAAATTAAAAGGAGGGTTAAACCACAAAATATTTCTCTGCCTATTGTTACATTTGTTCTGAGTACCGTTATAATTGTTTATGTCAATATATTCCAATTTATTTTTATGTCCACTCTTAGACAGGGCTTCCTCATAAATTGTTTTATTGGCCTCGAAAATGCCTTTATTAGAAGAATTAGTTGAAAGTCTATAACTAATGTTTTTTGGAATATGCCTTATGATATGGGCTGGGTGATTGGATTTCACGTTTAAATATTGGGGGTCCTGGTTCTCTTTTTTATACGGGGATATAGTACCATTTTGTAAGTTTAACGTAATGTCTAAATAGTTAGTAATTTTCAGATTAGTTTCAATTTCAAGATTAAATCCGAATTTTCTAAAAACCAGTGTAGTTTTTTACGGATAGTGATACATTTTTGGGGGTTACTCTTATCAACTATAATTAAACCGTCGTCGTGGTACAACCCATGGTTATTAAAATCTATATAGTCATTAAGCCTATGGAGCAGCAGGCACCCTATTAACTCGCACACCTCTGCTCCATCAAATGCTCCCATAGGGTTGTCAAAACAGTTAACGTTATTTTTTTTTATCCATATTGCATTATTATGGAATAGTAATGTTTTTCTGCAATGTCTAATCATGTTTATTTTATCGTCTGAAATTTGGATATATTCTTTAGCTAAACAGAGGGCTTCATTAAGGGTTTTCTCTGAAACAGACGGGTAATATTCCTTAATATCATACCTAATGAATGAGCACTTCTCATTTTTGTTATAATTTTCAAACCACTTAATACAATCCTTAGTCGATTGCCATTGATTAAGATTAAGGAAAGTCCTCAGGGATTTACATTTATCCTGCAAAATTATCTTACTTATGACTACCTAATTCTGTTTTTTTCTTTATCTTTGGTCACGTGGTATAATTTTGACTATCGCCTATAAATATGCATTTCTCATTTGTCTCTTTAGCCAGCTTTTCCCTGACAATCCGCTTAGGTGAGGTTTGTCTGGCTCCTAGGTTTTTATATATATATATATATATATATACATATATATATATATATATATATATATATATATATATATACACACACACACACACACACACACACACACACACACACACAAGTATATAATTGGTATATATGGAATGAATTCCAATAACCCACAATTACTATTAAAAGTGTGCTCAATACAAAGAGCAGATATAATTATTTTTTTTTTTTTAAATTTATAACATAAATTATAAAAAATCACTACAAAAATAGCCATTTTGTTTCAACACCCTGGTGTCTTTTGTAGTGGTTTTATAACATTTATAAATATTTTTTTATAAAAATTTTATATATATATATATATATATATATATATATATATATATATATATATATATATATAAATAAATAAATAAATAAAAGGCTCAAACACTATTATTCCATGGTTATAATTTGTTACATTGGAATCATAATCATTTATCCAATTCATCATTCATATATATATATATATATATATATATATATATATATATATATATATATATATATAAAAAATTTAGTTTTATGGTTAGGATAAGGGATGACAAAAAAATTATGCAATTTTTGTTCATAATTATAAAATTAAAAACACTATTATTATTATACATGACTAGCAACTAATTAGCAAATATATTTTTTTGTTCTTGGTCTAAAAACCGCAACTGATTTCTATCCAAAACAAAATGCTATTTCATCTGAAAAACTATTTGAATGTTAATGACCTTTTTCAAAACCATACAAAATAGCAAAATATTTGTTGTTTGTGAGGATATTTATATTTTATCTAGGAATGTGATCCAGTTATTCCCAAGTAGTCACCTGTCTTTTTGTTTTACAGATTCTTTGCATATCTCCTTTGAATATTTTTTGAGGGATAACATATGTTGAAGTAACTTCTTAATACTCAAAATCCTATCTCACCCACACAACAGTTGAAATCTACTGGTGGGCAATATCGCCCAGGTTGAGAAATATGATGGAGCAATATAAATTCTACAGGTATTTGAACCTTTGAACTAAAGGTAGCCAGGTAAATACCATATCCATCAGACCACCATTCTGCTGTTTGAATATACAGTTAAATTATCTTTAAATGATAGTACTCATATTTGAATCTGAGTAACAAGGAACTTTTAAAGCCAATTTCTTTACAGAGTGAGAACAGACACAAAAAGTCAGAAATAAAACATTAGAAGCAGAAAGGGCTTTGAAAATTTAACACTGAATTAACATCCTGAAGTGGCAGAGAGAAACAACAAGTAACCTACCTAATTTGTTTGAATGAATGGCAGAGCAGGGACAAAGAGGAATGGTAAATGCTTAAATATTACTTAGAACTAGAAAAACAGGATGTTGTGGAGAGTCACGACCACACATAAAAGAATTATCTGATTAAATCATTTTTTATTCAAATAATATTAATACATTAAAACAAAGAAAAGAACACTGACATTGCTTTAAAAGTTTATAACCTGACCTTCGTAATCTTCTGCCTGACATTAAATTTAGTCCCATCACATGTTCTGCTCAGAAATAATAAAAATAAATATGACAAGGTAGTGAAGAGTTCTCAGCCCAACCCACTTTCAAAAATATGGCCAAACATTGAAATTTCTTTTTTTGAATCCTTCTTCATCAGACCAAGAACTTTGCAGCATTC